CTGTGCAGACTGACCAGTCAGATTGAACCTCCCAAGGTTCAGCCGTCTAGTTTATACAAGTGTGCTTGCCTCTCCTGTATTAGGGTCAGCATGGGTTAGACTCATCGACCACAGCCGACAGAAGGGAAGTGAAAATAAGCTCATCCGCCCCAGCCACCATACAGATACATCGCCGCCCAACCACAATGTCTCTTGCTGGATGTTACTTTTCTTATTGAGGGCTGACTGACTGGGCTGGCATTGTGAACTTGAACACTTTACAGTAATCCGCAGGCATCGTTGTTGCTGGAAAATAGTGTTCCGTACGTCAGTTTTGGTCAGAGGCAGAAAAAAGAAAGGAACAGGAGGCACATGTTTGAAACAGGCGGTCTGTTCAGACAGATCATTGATGTTCATTGAGTTGTTCCTTTGATTGCATATTTTTTCAGTGTGGACAGACTGAGTATGCACGGACGTAACAATCATGTGCAGTACAATACGGGTATGTGTAGTACAGGTACTGTACAATGCGAGTTTGTGACAGAAGTCCGTCACACTGATGACATCGCGTGGAATTCTTTGTTTCAGCACCATTTGGCGAAACTTTGATGGAAGGAATCCACTAAGTAGCGTTCAACCAGGGGGTGGTGTAAAAAGGAGAAAGTCATCAGGATAGTCATAAGGAAAGTCAATATCACATGTAAGGGTCAGACTACCATCGATGATCAATCAACAACCATGAAGTTCACCTCAAGATAGACGGCGAGCGAGGAAATGAGCCGGTACGGATTTCTAAGAATGTGAAAGTTGGGGTTCCGGGGGCCGAGCCCGGACCGGCGAGGAATTATCAATGACGCCGTAGCATACCACACTACACACCGAGAACTGAATGATTCCATCCGCTCAATGTGGGGCCTGAATTTGTTGGTTGTCCAAAGGGGGAAAAAATGATGGAAGACGTGGAAACCCAAGCTGACTTGAAGAGAAAGGAACTTGAACCTTTGCTTTGATAGGCTTCCTCCGCAGGAGAGTAACTTTGAGCTATCCACGGGCTTGGTATTATTCTTACGCACTCTGCTGGTTCATGGAAGAGACTGATCATTTCTGCCGTTAAAAATTAACCTTAATTATGGAACTCGTAGATCAAGAATAAGAAAGCCACATGTCTTGCTAAAGTATTCCGCATACAGAATACGGCCCACGTTAAATGCGTTGTGTGTGGTGCGGCTTCAGTAATTCTCTTCCCATGAGCAAGTGGACCGATGATTTCAGCGCTCTGGGTCCATTCTTAACAGCGCAACAGCGCATGGCAAACAAGGATTATCCTTAGTTTGTTTGGATTCGGAATGCTTTTCTTGGACTGAGAAACAGAGAGGAAGCAGACCAAGATGAGCGTATCGCCCTGCCGAGGTGCCCACTTAGTTTTAGCAATCTCCAATTGGCAGCTTGCGCAAAGAAAGCTGGATCCTGAGGGGCTCAACCTTAACCTACACTGTGTAGAGGAAGCATGCGAGTGGCATCAGGTGAGCGCCAACCCCAGTCTCGGTAACTAATCGCAGTCCAGGGGGGCATGCCGCGATTGCTATCAGACGTCCATGATAGTGCCCGAAACGCCAGTAAGAATCGTGGTTAAAAATACATTATTGGAGTTCATGTCTTGGGCGGCGGAAGGTGTGCTGATGGCGAGTTGAGTTTATCAATTTGCCAGACATCGTCAAGCCCTAACCGCAAGCCCTAACCCTAGCCATCCATGAACGGCGCAACTGCAGTCCTTGAGCCGCAACGACTTTGTTTCCACCCATCAAGCTCCCAAGCGGTCTGCATCGACGCACCAGCACAACCCTGTGCCGCTGTTATCATGAGTTTTGATGATTCCTCACATCTGGTGCTTGGCCGAGGAGGCTTGCGAGCAGCAGCTCTGATTCGTATTTGTTTTTGCGGTTGGTCCTCCGGTGATTAGCACAAACACTACCAAAGCTTAAATGCTCCAACGGGGTCGACTTGCTGCTGGTCCGCCTGTCACCCAGCACTATTCCCTCCATCAGGTCCACCCTGGAAGGGGAATGTCAAATTCCGCTAACAACATCCAGTACTAGTTCGGGTGATAGTTCAAAGCTATTGATATATCCTATCCTCTTTTGTACAAGGCCGAGGCCGTCTCCCTGGAAAGAGGATCGCGTCCTGGCCGCTTTTGACAGGCTGCTTGTGATAGGCTTTGTCACTGGCGAGAGCGGATAGGATGAATCCAAATAATAAATCATCAACGTCAAGGTTTTCGAACTTTGGACCATGCCCGGAACCCTTGGCATAAGCCTAATCGGACTTATTTCTGAACCCTGTCCACTGCACCTCCTCCCCCAGAATACGAGCATCCTCGAATGGACCAGGTGTTGTACCACTTCGAACTAGTTGCAGATTGCAGCCGCACCGTGCGCCAGTGACGAAAAATGGACCTCCCACTTCTCGAGGTTCCCCACCACTGGGCTCGTGTCAGAATTCGGGCCAACCAGAACGGAGTCTGATGCGTCAAAAATTATTTATTTTTTTCAACATATCTGGTTGCTGCTTTGGGGACTGTAAGCTACGGCCCCAATATTCTCCAATTCCACCATTTGGGAGGCTAGCCAAGGGACAAGACGCTTATCAAGGTTCATCGCGTGTTGGTCCGCTTTGCTGGTGCCTTCCCGGTGTCTTTCGATTTGGCGAAAGGCCCATCCAGCCTCTCCCGTGACCCCCAAAATCCCTCCATGACGGGTCATTTGGAGAGGGGTCGTTAGTGGGAAATATCGGGATGTTCTAAAAGATTTTTGCCCAAATGTCTGACCTCTGGATTGCTCTGGATCTGATCTCAGGAACTTGTTCCTCGAGCCGCCCCAATTATGATTGGAAAAACAGTGATTATGATCGAGAACCCTAGATCCAAAGCTTGACAAAGAAAAGATCGCCCAACTTTTTGCAAGTCGAGGTTCCAAGAATCATTCATCTGGCATCTTGTGAAGTTTAGTGATTTATTGCCTTTATTATTGTTATGGTTATTTACCGCTTAAGCTTTTATTTGTTTGATTACTCCATCCGTCCTCCAAAATATAATTACCCTCGCTTTCTTCCACTTGGGGTTCGGCTAGATTGTGCATTTCCCCGGAATTATTTGAAAAATTAGAAAACCACCCTACCTCCCCTTTCCCTTTCCTCTTTTCCCTTGTCCTTTTTTCCGTTTCTAATTTCACTGGGTATCCGCCTGTGTCACTCTATCTTTTTTCATTTCCCCCCTTTTCACATTCAACAAGAGACTCGACTTTCCTGACGCACGCGCCAGGCTTGTTCAACATATGCGACGCGAGCGCTCTACGGCGCGAAAAGAAAAGGGATAATAAATAATTCAAGTGGAAACAGACAATCTGGAGCAGTTGAACTCGCAACATCAGAGGGGAACCCAGACTTCTCTTTTGTGGCGGATATTTTTTTGATCTTTCTACTCATTGAGCTTATTCCTCCTTGCGCCGCCCCGACAGGGAAATACCTGCCCGAACTTCCAGGGGCCGCCCGAGCTACCCAAGTGATCGTCATTCCTCTGCTCCACATCCCTCTATCAAGATCACCAACACATCTATCTTCACATTTCCTAATTATTCTGGTGCCGATCCGGAGGGGATACTACTTCCGGTGTGAAAATCCCTACCTTCGTTGTCGATTGAACTCGGCTTGTTGTGACAAACGTCAAGGCATACCTTCCTGCTTGACTGTTCAATTGCATCGATATATCTGTATTAAGTGGCGACTGTTTCCTTCCGGCACGGCTCAAGCCTCCACGACCTCAATTTTTTGAGTAGGTACAGACTTGTCGCATTTTAACCTGCATCTAGCATTTATTTCGTGTTTTGAATGTCACCCCTTCTTTTTTTGAGGAAGGGGGAACACACTCACCCGAGTTTTCCTTTCATTTGTCCATTCCTTTCGGCGCAAGATTTGGCGTTTACTTGGAAACACCATGTTAATGATAACTTGTGATCAGGATGCGATCAAGTAAACCACTATTCGAATTCACAGCATCTCCCCGTTCAGCTGATTCTCAACCGCTGTCCTAATTGACAACACCTACGCTCAACCTCAACTTCAACCCTAACACCTCTGTTGGCCTTGAAATATTGCTCTTAATCGACTCAAGTCCTGTTGTGCATTTGGTACCTCAGTTGTATCGATATCAAATTGCACCAACTCGGGTTATTACTGAGAGTGGTGTCCAATCCATCTTCCAATACAATATCGCCTCCGATTCCTATCAGCCGCTGAGCAGTTGGCTGCCCCGCGTGGATAATTCTGGTATTTCTGGTGGTCGAAATTGGCCTGGAAGTGTTCATTCCATACTCCAAACGGGGCAAGTACCCCTCACCACTGCACCCCCAGCACCCGCCCCAGATTCCGAATCTTCAAGGCAGCCAGGCCCGTCGCGAAACCTTTCCGTCAACGTGGCGACCCTCGCAGTTCAGCCGCCCGGAATGGGGACGGCGCTTGATGCTCTGAATTCACATCAGTCACTGACATCTCGACGACTAGCTGCAAACAATTTGCCTGGCTTCGAACTTCTCCATCCTCAAGTTTCGCAACCGCAAAAATATTCCCACCCTTCAAACACTAACGCACAACAACCTTCGAGAGTCGGCGCCTTACTAACCCCGCCATCGAACTCCTCATCAGACGCCGGCTCTATTTCCGCGTACGTGAACAATAGTACCATTTCTACCAGTCCAGCACCGCCTTCGTATTCTCAGGGCTACTGGCCACCATCAAATAATTTTGGTACTGGTATGATCAACCAGCCCTGGCCCCAGTCCTTTCCTTCAAGGAGCGGGTTTTCACCACCCTCATCATATGCAGGTCGAAATAATTCGAACTCCCCTACTTCAACGGACTCTTTAACACCCACATACGATATAAACCATCGTGCGTATTTTCAAACTCCAATTCCCGGAGTTTCCACCTCGTCTGGCCCATCGCCTACGACACAACAATCCCAACCAGCAATGGCGCACGTTTTAATGAATGCGCAAGCCACTACTACTACGATGCCACCAACTCCTCCAGTGCAGAACAGTGTTGACGCCTATGGTCAGAAATTACCACCTACCCCATTATACAGTGGATCACAACAAGGTACCCCACAGCAAGCCACCTTCCCGCCATATCAGAGCAGTGGTGGCAGTTCAACAATGCACCACTCTAACGCGAACGGACCTTCATCGAGGATCTCGCCAATTCCAGTTCAGATGCACGGTGAAGGGCAACATCAGTTACCCAGTACAGCCATTAGCCCATAATCCATTTTTACTTCCTACCCGCAAGGAGCGGGGCCAAATTAGGACGACGTACATCATCCGAATTCCCACTAGCACTTGTGGGATCTATACAGCCAAACCTCCTACCAGCTTTCAACAGTGGCCATGCTGCTACTATGAGTAGTATGTACAATGGACACCCCAATCATATGCATGGACTTATGCAACATCCGCCACCCGATGATCGACCTTATCGATGCGACCAGTGTACGCAAAGTTTCAGGCGCAACCACGACTTGAAAAGGCATAAGCGCATTCATTTGGCAGTTAAGCCGTATCCCTGTGACCACTGTGCCAAAAGTTTTTCCCGGAAAGATGCACTAAAGGTAAAAATCTCTCTAATAATTATACATCATCTACGAACTTTCTTGCTAACTTTGATGTAGCGACATATCCTTGTTAAAGGCTGCGACAAGGACAAGGATTCCCAGTCTGATAAAAACAGCACAGCGGCTGGCTCCCCCATACTTACACGCACGGACACTGGCGGGGGTAACTCTGGGGGCGGCCGAACTCACAACATACAGGGAAATCATGCCTTAAAGTCGCATACATGAAATACATTTCTGTATTCTGTTATTTTATTTCGTTTGACATAATCCGGGCCAGACGGAAACTTATTATGTGTTATTCGAGTAGTTTATTTTCTATAACAGCTTTTCTAATTCCCAATTGAAAAACCAAACCCATTTCTTTCGTCCTCTTGGCCTTTTCATTTTTCTCCATTATTTGATTTGGGACAACGGCACATACTTCCTCATACTTGCTCTTCTCACGATGTTTTGGCATTTTCTTGGTATTTGGGAACTAGGGTAGAGTTGAGGTGTCCTTGGGGTCTAATTTTATCGGAAATAATCAACATCGCCGATTTCCGCGCTCTATGTGTGATGCTAGATGGCCTTTTCCTGTGTTCTTCTACGGAGGAGAATCGCTTATTTACCACAATGCTACTTCCTATCCATCCTTCAAGCGTTCGATCATCTTCGCTCACTTCTTGAGCGACAATTCTTTTAAACCTCTTTACCAGAAGCTGTTAATTTTTTTTTTTCCTGGTATTCCATTTAGCTTTGGTCATAACAGTTCTCATCCCCTTGTTTACCCTTGTCTACTCGGATTTCCTCGTTCCCTATTGGCTTGTTCGAGCAAGTTATCCATTTTGTGCCTACATTTCCCTCCATATTATGTTCGATATCTCCTTTGACATCGGTGTAGGATCGCTATTTGCTTTGCCTCTCTTCTTGACTCCCTTGTACTGTACATGTGTAAATACAGTGCACCATGTGAAGATTTCCTTGCTCAATCACGGTTAACCAAATCGGGGATATGAGGAATAGACACTCAGCCCCGAAAAGTTTATGAGATGGTTTCCAATACCTTAATTTTCTCCTTACTTTACGCTCTACGGGACTTCTCGCGAATATTACTCAAAAGACGACGAGAATATTTCAAGGAACAGTTATTCGGAAGCAGTGTCATTTTCAATCATGTGAATTTTACTACAAATGGCCCATAATTTTACTTCCCCAAGTGGCAAAACAACACGCCTTCTATCATCATGCATTAGCAGAAACCTTCCCGGGCCCAACCGGATTTATATGTACTCGAGGACCTTACTTGCTTATACCTCTACATTGGATCCCTACAGCACGCATACCCGACAAGAGAATATCCCAGCAGCCCAATACATGCACAAGCCCTTACCTCCATAAGGTGGTTTTATATTTGACAACGCAAACCCCTATAAACTTCCAGCCATGCATTGGTGGAAACTCAATATCAAAATAAAATCCTTGCACTTTCTTCGAAATAATTCCCCAGAAAACTATCGAAACTTTTTGGAAATGCTAGGATGGTCGGAACATTGTCCAGGCTTGTCTCTGAATTTGTAAACGTATTAGAGAATGAGGACCGGTGGGAGCTTATCTCATATCATTGCTATGGTCCGATAGATTTTGGGAAGCCCAATAGTAGATTTAGGTAGACGTAGCAGAAACGAATATTTCACGGCTTTGCCGGAATTATGCGAACTGCTGGTTCCACTTTTCTCCTTCTTGCGCCAGAAGCTGGAACTTCACAAATACTCTAGTAAGGCCGGAATGATGGCCTCGCGTAATGCAATGTCCACTTCCCTCCCCGGTCCATGGAGCCTGTCAGCAATTTGGTAAACACGTTCAGCCATATGCTTGATGGATTCAAGTGAGATATCATCGACAAAAAGGCAGAAGTTGTACCGGGTTTGTGCTGGAGATTTGTCTGCGAAGCGCTTCTTCCACTCCACGTTCACAGTCGGGTAGCTTGGGTAATATGTCCATTTCATTGGGTGCAAAACGGCAGAACTGGTCACGAACAATGCGAGGAACCCTCTAGTTGAGCTTTGTGTTCCATTTACGACCAGTTCATGGCGGTCCCAAATTCTTTGCCACCTCCCATCATAAGTAGCCCTTCATATGGCTACATGCCACGCATTTACATCAATGTACGTGCACCGACACACGACGAAACGCTAAGCTTGTCGTCCTTCAGAGACCCTTTAATTGTAAATATAGGATGCAATCCGTCGTCCCACATGGCTCCAAACCCACATTCAGGTTTGTCAGCGCATCTCACGTTGTGTCGTCGGTCTGATGATGTTTCCTAGCCGTCGAGAAACTTCCGAGAATGGGAGTACTGTAGTGTTTACTCCTGTTCTCCCGTTGTCTTCGGCGCTGTTGTTGTGCATTAAGTACTAGTATTAGTAGTATGAATGACTTTTTGATATAAGGGAGGCGCGACGAGAAACTCCTTATGTATGTGCCTGAGATTCCAGAAATCCAGTAAAGGATCTCAAATGCATGAGTGAACGGGAACTATTTTCTATCATGCAGTTTAGACATTGAAGTTCACTGACGACCCGCTTAGTCAGTAGTGGAAATAGTTAACTAACTATCTGTGGTCTGTATGACCACTCAGAGCATTCCATTTTTGTCGCTGTTTTAAGCTCATTCCTGGCCACGTGACGCGAGACCTACGTCACACTTATTTCAAGACCAGCTCGCTCTCGATCACCTTCGCTCACCCGGCATGCACCACTCGCCCGTGAGGTGCTAAGCAAGCCATGACGGACCCGCCGTGCGACCAGCCAGGCTTATCTTGCATGGATGGATCAACCCTTTCGGATTACCGTAGCCAGACTCCCTCGACGTGCATATCCGTTGCAGGCTCCTTTTTTTGGTTCCCCTTTCTGCCTCCAGAATGAGCGCCGCCGTCTTAGGATGTGTATAATAGGCACCATGCTTTCCCACCATCCTCATTCTTTCTGCTGCCAAACCATCGTAGGCTAGTTGACCCTTCCCTTTTGTTTCCCCTTTCAAGCTGTTACCATGTACACCCATCGAGCAAGTCGCCAACAGATGGCAGCTACCAAATCGCGAGCAGTGGAAGTGGCTGCCCGTCCTCCTACAGGTCGACTGCTCAGGCTGGCGCACAAGGAAACAAATTTCGTCCAAAGGGAGAGGCTAACCTTGGCAAGAACCTTCTTGGTCACAATTTGAGTTCTTAGTTGCTAATTTCTTGTAGGAACGCACTCTGTGCCGGAGTTCACTCCGCTTATTGAACAGCCCACTGATACACCACTTGGCCTGGTTCGGCATCTCTAGGGGAACTGCAAGTTGAGATGACCAAGATTCCTCCACCACGGCGTTGCTCTCACTCGGGTCCGTGAGTGAGCTCCGGAGGACAGCCCTGAAGAGATACTGACTTGTAGGGTCATACGTGGCTGGTTCTTTCATCAGTGTACTCTGCTGGACTCCAGTGGATTCTGCCGGCGTTGTTGCTTTCGCTATTGCTGGCTCGGGCTCAGGCTCCGGTTCCGCGAGGCTCACTCGGGGTACGGCCATCGGTGGCTCTGGAGCCGTCCTTGGTTCGGGTTCGATGGTTAAAGCGCCAATCGGTCGGCTTCTTCATTCCCTGGCACTCCTAGACATATGCCGGGATACATCGGAACTGCACCTCCCATTTGATGGCTGGGAGCCTATCGAGGGCCTGTACGGCCTCAATCAGGACATCCTGGGCTGATGAATGGTGGGGTTCTGGATCGCGCTGATGGCGGCTTGGTTATCGGTGACAATGGCGTACTTCCGGGTGGTTTTTCCGACCGTATGGGTGTCGAGCATAAGCCGCAGCGCCAGCACCAGGCCTTTGAGCTCCGCTGCGTACACCGTGGAGGTGCTAGACTGGCCCATGTACTGTGTTTGTTTCCTCCGGGCGCTGTGATTCTGGAGTGAAGGTGATGTTGCAGCTGCTCTGACATGATCATTGATGCTGCTCCCATCATTATAGATGCGTACTGTTTCTGGTTCTGTGATATCGTGTTCCTTGATTGCTTCTTTGGAGGACTTCTTGATACAGATGAACGGCGGGGTCACACGGCAGCACCACGTGTGGTTGGCGTTTCTCAAGTCAGACAGGTTGCAACTTAAACTTGTCTTCCAAGATTCCCGAGAATCGGTCGAGGGGAGTCAGTGCATCGCGTTTACGGGGTGGCCTTTCGTTATCCCCACTTATAACCGCCATGTCGTTGTGTGGCGGCGAAGTTCTCATGCGCATCATGGCTTCCAGTGTTGTTTGCTCCAGTTGCTGCTGTACCAGGAGCAGGTGTGCTTCTGCGTCAACAGCCATTCCGGCGGACTTAACACCTGTGGATAGCACTTTTTCCCAGCAGAAGAATGTTTGATGAACGCCAGGCACATATTGACAATGAATAGGAGAGGACTGTACGGCCCTCAACTTGAATCTTGTATATGACACTACGCGATGTAGGGTTCGCTCAAGATGTGTGCCTCTCAGTAAAATTGGTAAAATATAAATAATTGCATCGGCGCCTACAGGAATGCCTGACTGCTCAGCTCTTATCACAAAGGACAACAACTCTGTGGTTCTTCAACAAAGGCTTTCCAGGGCGAGTGAGGACGCTGGTTCGTGTGTCTGAACGCTATGATGAGATAAGAATGGGTTCTGGAATGGAAGACGGCAAGGATGACGCGCGCAATCGCCCGTTCTGGGTTTGGACGCTCACCAGAGAAAGTATTGGAACAACGCTCTCCCAACAGGATCCACATCGGCGGTTAAACAGTTCATGTATGCAGGTCGCGTATCAAGATATCATGAACAGGAGAAGATGACTGGATTCTGTTTCAAGAGAGATTTCATTGAATTCCGCAGGTGAGGTGTCTGAAGACATTATAGATAATGAGAGCTTGCGAGGATTCTATTTTCAAAAGCTCCTCTGATTCGGTTTACTCTGGCGCTTGAATAGCTCATGCATGTTGTCTCAGCAATTTCATACTCGTACAAGATGATAAACCAAGTTCTTTCTGTCCATATGTAGCAGGGGTTTAGCCAATCATTATTGATATTCTCGATATGAATGACTCCCAAGCGCTGACATTGAACCTGATGTTTGGTGGCAGTCTTTTGGATGCGGGAAAAATGCTGGCAACTCCATTCTTGTGGTGAGAACAGGCAGGCACCAGGAATGACTGGTCAATCTGAATGAAGAGAGAAAAAACATTAAATAGGATTCTCTGTCATATCTATTGGTAGCTCTTTGCCTGAGCCAAGACGTTTCGAAATGCGTCGATCCATAGGACCAAATCTGGCCTCATGGATTTGACCAAAGTTGGTGCTATACCATTCCACTGCCTGCTTATCTGAACAATGATCAAGAATATCATTATTGACCTCTAGGTATCCTGTCATCATGGATATCCAGCATCTCAATGACTCACCCCATGCAGAATGACCTGACTCTGTTTCTTCATCAATCACAGTCTTAACAAAACTCTCAATCAGTGCCTGTTCCAGTGGATAGCATAAATTTTTGTAGATGTCAAATTGTTTTGTGGTTGCAGGATATGCTATGTTGTTTGAAGAGTGGAGAATATCTTCTAGAGGAATATGTGCAAAGGAATTTGAAAATAGATACATCTGCAAACCCTTTTCTGCTGGATCATCTTGTGGATAATCAAATACTGCACAAGAACAATCAAGATGTTTGTAGTCAGCATTTATTTCCTCCAACATCTGTTGTGGATTTGAATGGTCTTGCATGACCTCCAGAGGAGGGGTGTGATTTGGAATGCTTCGGGTGAATCCTGCATTCTCAAACTGTTCAATGGCAACTGTATAGTCCTCATCCTGCACAACAACCATGGTGGCCTGTAGGGATAGGAAAATGGTTAGCAGGAACACAGGTGAGTCATTTACGAGTAAAGGTCCACGTTCTTACCCCACAAGCGATAGGGACGCCCAGATACCACATTGCGAGCGATCCCCAAGGAATTACAGTGAGAGGTTGAAGTATTGTGCTAAGTCTTGTTGTCTGTCTCGGGCGCCTAAACATGACTCCGATCCGGGTCTGTCTGGAGGGGTTGAACGTTTGTTGCGCAGCACGAAAAGGTCGACGATCAAGGGGTAAGAGGGACAGATTGTAGGGGCTTGCGCTGTCCCGCAAGTAAATGCACCGTTAACCTGCCGACCACAGCTGGGAACCGGAAGCTACTCGCAGTCGTTGCACCTTGACACTAACTACTCAAGTAGTAGTTAAGTAATAACCCCGCGAACCCGACCCGGGTTTTTAGGGGCGCTTATCGTGGGTGAAGTGCCTAAATTACTTAACTAAGTTTAGTTAAGCCTGTGCACGGGCCCCCTTAGCGCGGGCGTGTTATTTTCGCGGCTCGGGTCGGGTTCCAAGGTACTCCGTATACGGCGTAGGATCCAATGATCTCAAATACACGATCATTGTGTCAATGGAGGTATCCAGCTAGGTTCATCGGATATTATGGCACCTATTCGCTGAAGCTCGACATCTCGCTCAGGGACTTCATGTTCACAAACCCTATATTGGTGATAACTGTACAAAGCTGGTACTGTGTGCAGCCTGTTAGGGACATTGTGACATGTAGTGGATATCCCGTTGAAGCTCCTGTAGTCACTTTTACCCGACCTCCCGCAGAGTCATTTTATTCCAAGTCTAACCGAATTCCTGCCGCTAAAATTCACAGCTCCAGGAACAATTAAAAATTGATTCGTATATGAAGATGTCTTCGGCAAACATGCAGGGTTTGGTGCAACCTGAACCGGTGTTAAAACCGGGCGTGGGCTGCTCGTATGACAATCAATAACTTATGTCGTACTGGAATGGAACCCGAGCCCCTTCTGGCAGAACTGCTTCTTCCGGATTGAATATATTCAGCTCTGGGAGAAACGGCGTAAATAATCATTATCCCGGCTCAGATTTTTCTCTCATTGTTACACGAGAGGCTTCCTGACTTTCTTCTGTACTAGTAGCTGCCAAACTGCCAACTACGGGGTACAGTTAATTGTGATTACGGCAGCCTACAATGTGATGTCTAATTTCAAGTTGCTGATAGAGTTAAGAAAAGTGACGTCATTATGAATCATAAGTTAAGTTGAAGCTCAATGAATTTTGACTGGAAACAAACTCCAATTTCCTCAGCGCTTTTCAAGTGTTCCTTTTTTTTCTCCGATATGTTCGGTGTGTGGACACAGATACAATCACATCTCTTAACTCCTACATCGACTCAAACTGCGACACGGGCCTCTGGAGTCTACCCCCCAGATGGCTTCGTTCAACTCTGCGTTAGCAAAAACAGTCCGCCTTCCCTACCAGTTCGAGCGCTGATGACGAAAAACGCCCCGGCATACTTTATGATTGGACACTGAGAGGAAGGCAAATTTACCAGATCTTTGATTGGGTGGAGTCCTTATGAAGAAGTTTTGACAATGATGGCGATGATGTATAGTACTCGAAGTCCATTAATTGCTCAACAACAGACTCTCCCAGCATTCCAAAATCGAATGGATTTCAACAGAGTATGGCAATGATTCCAGTGGATATAATAAATTGTTAACTCTTGGGTTTCGCCGCTTGTGGAGAGAGCTATCTCTCGCAAACACATGGCTAAATGCGGCGTAGAGCTTATGGATTATGTGGCTATCATTTACCGGCGCGGCCGCATGACAATAAAGAACAACAAGCTGCAAAACACAAAAATACACCGCTTGTGTAAATTGAGGAGGAGGAGGGGAAACTTTCAGTACTCAGAGGAGAAAAAGCTAAACGAGTCCGGAGCATACAGCAAATTACGTCATATACAACTCATCTATATACGTTCTAAGCGTCTTCCCTGACAAAAGAAACATTATTTAAAGAAACTTGATTATCCGCATGTACATGTACACCTTGTAAGGAATTGTCTAATTTGCGGAATCACCAGTTGTTTGGCCTGATATTCAAACACGGACTTCATTCTTTGTTACATTGAGGAATCGCGGAGTGAAAACTACACCAAAATGACCCTTGCAGCACACGTAAGTGAGATTCCCTACAGAGTCGTTTTTGTTGAAGAAAACATACAAGTAGGGAGGCTCGCCGCTCTTCACGCAAACTGCTTTGCCCCACTTCATTGAAATGTTTTTACATTTTACGTCCTCCCAGGATATAATTTATCAATCCGTGTATGCTCGTTTGGGAACATTTTTCAAATGACTTCAGCTCACATCTACCGGCTTTCAACGAGGAGCATAGGTTGACGTTAACCAACTAATTGAGGATCTACGCAACGACCCCAAGCGTAGAAAAAGTGAACGCCTATGGACCGAGAATGTCTCCGGATCGATGACCCCGTACTCCACACGATATGCTAGTCATGAGGAAATTCCTAAATTCAAGTTGCCCGAGAAGGGTGCGCCGGCGGAGGCAGTGCGTAGGATGTTGAGGGATGATCTGGATTTGGATGGGATTCCAAATTTGAACCTGGCTAGGTCGGTGATATACTGTACATTGACCAAGACCACCTTTGCGATCCATCTGAGACAAATTTCTTGGTGATTCGGCAATATAATACTAACAAATATGTTAAATGTTTGTAGTTTCGTCGGCACTTACATGGAACGTGAAGCTGACGAGCTTCTGTTCGAGAATATCAGTAAAAATTTAGCTGATGCCGATGAATACCCGGCCTTGATGGAGATGCATGCTCATTGCGTCTCAATGATATCTAATCTCTGGCACGCGCAACCAGGAGAGCACGCGATTGGATCTGCAACGACTGGATCTTCGGAAGCTATCCTCCTTGGTGGGTTGGCAATGAAAAAACGCTGGCAGGAGACAAAGAAAGCGGCGGGAAAAGACACCTCGAAGCCGAACATCATCATGGGCGCGAACGCACAGGTTGCATTGCTTAAGTTCGCTAGGTACTTCGACGTTGAGGCCCGGATTTTAGACGTCTCTCAGAAAAGCGAGTATCGGCTTGATCCAGACCTTGTCAAGAAGAATTTAGACGAGAATACAATCGGTGTCTTCGTTATTATGGGCAGTACATACACTGGCCACTACGAACCAGTGGAAGAGATCTCAAACATTTTGGATGAATTCGAAGCGAAGACTGGTATAGATGTGCCTATTCACGTCGATGGTGCAAGCGGGGCCTTTGTTGCGCCATTCACTTACGCTCAGGCTGGAGGTCCTAAATGGTGATTATCTCTGGCAGCCAGCACAAAAACCGTCAGCTAATAAACTTATAGGGACTTTGCACTTCCTCGTGTGAAATCCATTAATACATCTGGTCATAAATTCGGCTTGGTATATGCGGGCCTTGGTTGGATCGTATGGCGGGATAGAACGTATCTGCCAAGCGACCTTATTTTTGAGCTCCATTATCTTGGTGGGACAGAAGAGACGTTTACCCTGAATTTCTCCCGGCCTGGAATGCAGGTGGTAGGACAGTATTATAATTTTATACGCCTTGGCTTCAACGGGTACCGAGAAATCATGGAGAATTGCCTAGCAAATGCTCGATTGTTAAGCACCGCGCTTGAGAACACGGGCTGGTTCCTATGCATCAGCGGCATCCATCGAAAAAATGGGAGCTCAAAGGTTGAGCAGACCAACGGGTTGCTGAAATATCAGGAAGGCGAAACATCGGCGGACTATAATGCAGGTTTGCCTGTAGTGTCTTTTAGGTTTTCTGATGAGGTTCAGCAAAAGTACCCGGATGTGAAGCAGGAGAGCGTCAGTTTATTGCTTCGTGCGAAGCAGTATATCATCCCAAGTATGTCACTGATACTGCCTCGTTCACGTGTCATTGTGAATTATGAACTGCAATGCATATTGGGGAGCGCAAAGCTGACAACGGTGACCACAACATAGATTACCCACTTCCGCCGGCGGAGGATAAGACTGAAACCCTGCGGATAGTTGTACGTGAAAGTATGTCTGCAGATCTCATCGACAGACTTGTAGCAGACATCGTGGCTGTTACCGAGAGGCTCATGGCCTCAGAGCCGGTGGATGTGGCAGCACTTCAAACAGGCCCAACCTCAATCGCGAGACGGCGTATGCTCTCGAGACATAGTCACGTAGGGAAAGAAAAGGGTTCAAAGGGAGGGAAAAAAACGCATCATTCGAAAGGAATCCACCGAGGCGTATGTTAGGAGAAAAAGCTAGTGATTTTCGCACCTTGGGGATAGGAACCAAATTGATAACAAACTCATCTGGTCATTTGGTTCATAGTATTTTCGACAATGACAGCCAATGGAAAATACATAAAAATGTGCCGGCAGATGTAATAGCCAGCTATGTTATTAGGTTCTGACTGGTACATTTGCAGTTGTATCGACGGTGTTGGAGAATAAAAGTGCCATTTCTTCTATCGGAATGATTTTTGCCTGGAACAGAGGAGGATGCCACTAAACCACTTTAATCCTAGCGTAATATCCGAAAATGTCATCGCTTTTTTGTCCCTCTGTTCGCTCTCCGCTCAACGTCAAGAAAAGGATACTCGTACTCTCGTACTCTCGTCGCAAAAGCTTGGTTCACTCCAAAAAGCTGAGATCCAGCCAGCGACTCAGTCATCATGTCAGCTGGTAAGGGGGTTCGGTGCCACTGCCGCTAAAGCAGCTAGCTACCCGACCTTGCTCAGTCTTTGAAGCCAGTTCATTCTCTTGGACCATTCACTCTTGATTCGACGAATACTCCGAGTGGCTCGCTCACGAACAGCAAGCACCGGTCAATTCACGGGATAGCAAATAATAGACAAATGGCGCTTCAAACTTGCAGGAATATTCATAGAGCACACGCCACAGGCTCAAAACAAGTCCCAGTAAAGCATGGCTACATGTGAGGATGTGAATTGTAACAGGGCCGACCTCAGAACAGCGTGACTGGATCTCGTGGCTATGATACAGGTACCGCTGCTCTGACAATACTGGCTTGGTGCTGATTCGTTCTCACAAAACTAATAAAGCTCCGTCTGGAATGTTGATCTGTGGTCGTACTAGATTGAACACTTCCAGTCCATGAAAACTCTAGACCCCAGAGACAACGAATCAAGACACCAGTCTAATAAATCTCCTCCTGTCCCCATTCGGCGGAGGAAGCTCTCCATCCCTTCGCACCAAGTTTGTTCAGGTTGTGGGAATCCGGCCTCGAACCCACTTGTGGGCTGGCCACATGACAGCTCTCGAAACGCACAATGATGTGTTCGCTGCGTTATCAGCCCTGTATGGTATTACCTGTTTCGCTGCATCATCTTCTCAGGGAAGATCGCCAGCATTTCCATATATTCTCCATTTTCTCTTATCTTCTCTTCATCAGTCACTGTCGTCCGTGTCATCACACTCTTACTCTCTGTTTCCACTTCCTTGTGTTAGCGTATATTATTTTTCCGGCTTCCTTTTGGAGTGGATTTGGCCTTGGAAACAAAAGTGCTCTTAGTGTTGCATTCCTGTTCTATTTCTATCTGTCCTGGCCCCGGTTTCCATCCCCGCATCACCTCCGCTTGCTTGTGTGCGAGAGCCCGGGCTGGTGTCAGCTTTGATTTTATCGCCTCCATCGGTCAATGTGCTGATATTTTTTTCGATCTTGTTCTCCCATAGAACTTTATACTTTTTCCAATCCTGATATCAACCTCAAAGTTGACTGCTTGATGTCAATTACTCGACCTTGTTCTACTAATTCATTATTCTTTCGTTGGGTTTCCATTCTATATATCGGCCGCATTTTTGTCCTGGTTGTCTAATATCTGTTTGGTCTTTTCTACTGCCGTGCTCTGCGTTTCATGAAAGGTGGAAATGTACTTGGAGAGGCCTATTTCCCCACTTCGGCATGGAAACTGACCGAATTCTGCTTGCCACATCTTCTATCGGATCTGTGCAACCGAAAAGGTGCATCCGTAATCAAGGGACGCTGAGTCCGCCAACGGCTTTATCTAAGGTGCAGCCTGCTTCTCATACCGGTATACAGTCTGCGCGCAAGTTACCTAGCCATACCGTGGGCGTGAATAAATCCAAACAGTCAAAGAGTCGAAACGGTATGGATTTTCATTCACTTAAACCCGTTCCTTGAAGAATCCTCAGCAAATTTCGGGGTGATTTTATGTGGCTCGACAGGAGCAGCTGACCCTTTTTTTGGTGATCGATCAGGGTGTGTGACGTGCAAAACCAAGAGGCTCAAATGTGACGAGACGAAGCCGACATGTCAACAATGCCATAAAAGAAATGTTGCCTGTGGAGGGTACAAAAAGGACTTCAAATGGAGGCAATTCGGGGAGTCCAGTTTTGCGAATAAATCTGCTGCTCCCAAAAGGAAAAAAGGTTATACAATTTACTGTAGATAGAACTGATTAGCCAAAATTTGTACTAACTTTGTGCATGGACAGCTCCTCTTCATGCACCACCGCCATCTCCCATAGTAGCCGGCCGTAAACCGATCCGCTCAGTACTGAGTCCTCTAATCCCTTATAATTCTAACTCGCCAGAGGAAGGTAGCCTGGGGGAGTATCAGCACTCATATCCTTCGCTTGAGAGTGTTTCGTCTCTTTCTACATATGATATTTACTCGCCTGATCTATTGTCATCTCTTTTAAGTCTACGGGATCACCATTCAGAAGATTATGATTGTGCGCAAATTATCGCCGATTCATCATATATCTCCTCCATTCAATCGCTCGAATTACATGAAAATGGCCTGGCGAACGATACATTCGACCTGCTGGAGCGTCCCTCTGAATGGCTACCATCCTATTTTCATTTCTCTCCAGCTCTTGCACATTTCGACAACGAAGACGTGGAAAATATAATTCGACAGTCCATCCCGGAAGTCAACTTTTCATCCTGTTGGGACGCTCCATCCTCATCAGTGGATTGCTTCAAGAATCTCTTGAAAATGTCCATATCTTATGAGCCATCTTTGCATCCAGAATCTCCAGCGATGCTCCTGTCTCGCTACGACCGACAGACCTGTGGGATTCTATCCGTGAAAGATGGGGTATCTGAAAACCCTTGGCGCACCTTAGTGTGGCCCCTTGCCGCAGATTGCCCTGCACTCTTCCATGCAATATGCTGCCTGTCCGCATTTCATTGTGTCAAAGAAAACCCTCGCTTGAGAGTTCATGGTATGGACCATATGCGGCAGAGCATCAGTATGCTAGCCAGTGAGATCGGAGCCATGAAAACGGATGAAGCATTAGCTACGACTCTTGTGCTCGTGTTTGCAGAATCCTGGGACCGACACATTTCCACAGGCATGCAGCATCTTCGAGGGGCACGGGTTCTATTGAACCAGGCGGTGGTGCGCCAACGCCAGCGTATTAATCCCTCAGAAAAAGAAATCGCATGCTTGCGGTTCTTGTACAATACTTGGCTTTACACAGATGTTGTTGCAAGACTCATCTCGCTCGAAGACGACGAATTTGATGAAGCTTCAATGCCTCAGGATTTTACTCTAAATCTCCCACATTCGTCCGTTCACGAGGTTGATCCTCTGATGGGATGTGCAACGACTCTGTTCCCACTAATAAGCCGAGTTGCCAATTTGGTCCAGAAAGTCCGCAGGTCCAAAAGTAACTCTATTCCCCTCATATCACAGGCAATGGAGCTTAAAACTCTCATCGAGCAATGGGAGACTCCAAAGTATTTCCAACCTCCAGAGGATCCAACTTCAAATGTCCAACACAACTTCCAAACAGCTCAAGCGTATCGCTGGGCAACTCTGTTGTATCTACATCAAGCAGTTCCCGAGATTCCATCTGAGTGCGGAGCTGAACTTGCCAAGCGCGTTCTTGTGCTATTGGCTACTGTCCCTCTGAGTTCGCGGGCAACAATTGTCCATATATATCCCCTATTTGTCGCGAGCTGCGAGGTGGAAAGCGAAGAGGATCGGAATTGGGTCAAAGAGCGGTGGGCGGCGATGCAGTCGAGATTAATGATTGGAAACATCGATCGATGCCTTGAGGTTGTTCGGGAGGTATGGCGACGCAGGGACGCGTTCAATCGGCAGAATATGAATTCGCTACGAGCATCCTTCGTGCAGCCTATCGATACAACCAAACGAAAAAGCATCTACGGAGTTGGCAAAGCTCCTGACGTGCATGATGGCGAGAAGATGGAGGAAAATTCCGCGACTTTCGAGCTTTCAGACCAGAGGCCCAACAACGCATGCACTTCAGTTATCGCGGTTGCGGGAAAAGGTAAAACATCTCGTTCGTTCTCATCGCCAATTAGTCCGATTAGACGAGGATCTTTTATTCCCGGATTGGATGATATGGAGATCGAGCGCACTGTGCGGGGGAGATTGCACTGGGTCGGGGTAATGAAGGATTGGGACTGGGAAGGTATTTATACCATTCCTCCACATTGACCATTCACAGACCTTACTATCGCCATTTCGTTTCTATGATACCGTATTGTCGAGAATATACATGCTGATTTTTGCATCACATAGTTCTTCTGGGATGATCCACCGACCAGCAGAAAGAAATAAAGAAAGCGGATGCGGTCACACTTCCATCGACGTTGCTTTGTTCGGTTTTATTTTCTGTCACATACCATATCGGCGGTTCAATATATAACCCTCCTTTTCTCGGAGTTCACGGATGCTTTTTCCATTCTTCGAACGTTTAGTCTTACGATTTTGTAACGATATTACGCTTTCGCTCTTTAATTTAGCTCGCCATTCTACGTTGCTCACTACAAACGGACTTCGAATATGGTTCCCCTAGACCGAACTTATCGACTCCCTAGAAGCACCAGTGGGCCATATATAACCTTATGTTTCATCACTCAACTCTCTTTTCCTCTAAATAACCTCCTTTCACCCCGTTATCATTATTAATTAATCATGAGAACCTAGTGACACTGACCATTTCGTCCGGGGCCCCAAATGCAAAACAACAAAATGCGATGAGGATTTCGCATATACATGGATATATTTTCGTTTAGAGCTCTCACGTAACTCACTCTAACCTCCACCTTCCTATTTTAATCTATAATTTTATTTACGATGGAATGAGTGGAAAATGGTTTTTTCTTCGGCTGTTCCATTTTTCCCCCGAATCGGAGTTTGATTGTCCGTCTTTATCTTTATGGTTTCAGATATATAATTTTGTTTCTCCCCACCTCCTCCTTGACATTCATTTTTGGTCCGGACAGCATACCGGATCGGATGCGGGCGTTAATAAACGGAAGGAAAGAATGTGATATTCCTAGGACTGCAGGGAAATTGATGTGCCAGATGTTCTCCGGTTTCCTTTTTAATATCGACTTTACGCCGCTCAATTACTACGATAATTTCCCTCTTCGTCATTGTCATTTCCATTCTTGATGAACAAAATTGGCATTTGCATATAATCTTCTGTTTGATTGCTTCACTATAGTCTCCTTCAGAAAAGTTTCTTGCAGATCCATGACTACTAGAAAAATCTCCTACACGATGCCGCGTACACTGGGACAGGATACCAAACTCATATCTCACCTGCCTGGCGGTTCTCAGGTGTCCGGCGGTGACATTGCCAGTGCACTCTCGACATTCGGGCATGCTCCTGGTCACCTTTCTGGACTGGTAGCTCACTTGATGCCGGTCAGGAAAGGTCCGGCGATATGACTGAACGCCCCGGGATCCATAGCTAACTATATATATTCTTAATTTTTTTCATTCAAACAAGAATTGAAGCATCCACCTTGCATTAACTCCATGTAAGTGCAGATGTTTGTCCACAGACACAAACTCGAGAAGGCACAATACATGTAACAAAATGAACGAAAGAGCAGTAGAGGTGGTGCTCCGCGAAAGTTTGATAGGCCTTACTTATTTGATTACATATGAAGGGGGGCTATCTTCACTTTTCCGAAGACACCCAGAGGAGTCTATACTCCCACAGTCCTCCATTGATTTCAGTAAAAACCTGTTCGCAGTTTATAGAGTCCTTCAATGAGCTGACATCAGCGTTCCTTCATGTTAACTACAGGAAGAATTCAATTCACAGTAATTGACACCGCCAGCTGGGCATACGCAGGCTAACAGCACCCGCCGAAAGAGGTGGATATTATTTATGGATTCCCTTCCATCTCATGTAACCCCATCACTAGGAAGAGTTGTCGGCGGAGGATAAAATTGGCCAGGCGGCGTGGATCTGCAATCTGCGCGAAATCCAATTCTTGCGGTCCTATTCGTTGCTGCAGCAACGGCGCCACTTTGCGCTGGCCGAAGCCTCAAACGAGCCCCGCTAACAAACAATATCGCAGACAACCGGCGCTGCAGCACAAGCCCAGAGCCAGAACAGCTTCTGCGTCCCTCACACTGCTGCTGCTGCTGCTGCAGACCCATTCCGTGCCCCAAGGACTTCACTACCGTCTGCTGTCAATATATCCTCCTCCCCTCGCTCCATACATCGTGGGCTTCTTCTGGCTGACGACGCGGTTGCTGAGCTCTGGTGGGGTAAATAGCACTCAAACGACGCCGCTATCATCAGCGCCCGATAACAAACATCAATTACACCCTCCACGGCCAACGCGCATATCAATTCACATTACAAACTGAGATGGCGGTTAATATCCCTTCATCTCCTGCTGGAAAGCAGGACCTCCGTGTCCCGCCTCTCCTGCACACTCGTTCTGGCAACGAGTTCTACGACCGCCCGCAGACGCCATCTCAAAGCGGTTTCACAAGCCCCTTCAGCACTCCTCAGGGCAGTCCAAGCAAGAATCGTCTTCCTCCCGGCGCAAGAGATCTCCCCAGCGTATTCGATCAAGCTATGAAACTCACGCCGCCCTCCCCGTCCAAGTCAGCGCTCAATGTGCCGTCGTTATCGCCTACAAAACCTGCGCCATCGGGTGTTCACGAGGATCTACCCTCCTTCAGCGAAAGTGTCATTCACAGCAAAGACAACACGAATCAAGCTCGGAAATTAAATAAGGAGAACACACCTACTAATAGTCTGCGATTTGGCAGAGACCCGGCTGTCAACACAAACCAGGCAGCGGTCTCACGCCAGGAGCCATATCAAACCAGGCCAGCAAGCAGAAGAGGCCAATCCCACCTTCGTGGTCTCACAACAGATGAACTAGAAAAGCTACAGCTCCCGAATGTGAAACGACTTGCGAACGTGACTCAACTTTGTCAGTTTATTCTTTGTTTTTCTCCTCCCTGCTTGTTGTGTGAGATGGTGACTTGATTTCTCACTATTCACTTGCTAATGTGTGGTAGACTTCCTGGATCATTACTTTGATCTATTGAGTTACGTGCATAATCGCCAGACGCGCCATGCTCAATTCAAAGCTGCTTACCCTCTCCCTCCGGAAACCCCAACCGAAGAATACGAAGCCGCTTTACAAAAATACCTTGGCCGCGAGCGCGCCAATCTGCGCAAGCGTCGGACCAAACTTCGACATAACGATTTCCAAATTCTTACTCAGGTTGGACAGGGCGGATATGGCCAGGTGTACCTTGCACAAAAGAAAGATACTCGTGAAGTGTGCGCTTTGAAGGTGATGAGCAAAAAGCTTCTATTTAAATTAGACGAGATCAGACACATCTTGACGGAAAGAGACATCCTCACAGCCGCCAAGAGTGAGTGGCTAGTGAAGCTCCTTTACGCTTTCCAAGACGATGAACAGATATATCTTGCCATGGAGTACGTTCCTGGAGGTGACTTCCGTACGCTGCTTAACAATACCGGTGTCCTTCACAATCGCCATGCCCGATTTTACATTGCTGAAATGATTTCATGCGTCGATGCCCTTCACGTCCTTGGTTACATTCATCGGGACCTCAAGCCAGAAAACTTCCTAATCGATTCAACTGGACATGTGAAATTGACCGATTTCGGATTAGCCGCCGGAATGCTTAATCCCGGCAAAATCGAATCAATGCGTGTCAAATTAGCAGAAGTCGGAAACACAAATGTTCCCTTTGGTAGGCCGATGGAGCAGCGTAGTGCGGCAGAAAGACGAGAGGGTTATCGTTCACTACGACAACGCGAAGTTAACTACGCGAAATCTATTGTCGGATCTCCCGATTACATGGCTCCTGAAGTCCTGAAGGGGGAGGAATATGATTTCACAGTTGACTACTGGAGCTTGGGCTGTATGTTATTCGAGGCTCTAGCTGGGTACCCTCCGTTTGCGGGAGCAACTGTCGACGAAACCTGGCAGAATCTCAAGCGGTGGCAGAAGGTCCTGCGGAAACCCCAGTACGAGGACCCGAACTACTTTTTGTCAAGGCGTACCTGGGACCTCATCGTTCGCCTGGTAGCTGCCAAGGAACAGCGATTTAAGAATATCAGGGAGATCCACGAGCACGAGTATTTCGCAGAGGTGGATTTCAGCACATTAAGAGAGCAGAAAGCTCCGTTTGTCCCTGAGTTGGACTCGGAAACTGACGCAGGCTACTTTGATGATTTTGGGAGTGAGGCGGATATGGCCAAGTATAAGGAAGTACATGATAAGCAGAAGGCTCTGGAGGAGATGGCAGATAGATCCGACCCAATGAGCAAGGGTCTATTTGTTGGCTTCACTTTCAAGTATGTTTCATTTTCAATCCTCCTATTTTGACAGCGTATTATTACCCGAGTCCTTAAATTCTAACACCTTTGTCACTTAGACATCGCAAACCTGCCATCGATGGCGATGGCCGAAGCACTCCTCGGAAACCCATCCTCACCGATGGAGGTTTTGGGACCATATTCTAAACGTATCTGAGTCACGCAATCTGAATGCTCCTGAAGCAAGGGACTTGCATTATACCCTTTTTTATATTCCCCATTGACAGATACCATAATGCACCTTGAGTTCGTTTCTTTGCCGATTGCAGAGCTGGCTCGTTTTTCATTCTCCGACTGTTTTTCAATCTCGAACACGTAGCAGAACCAGGCAATAACACATTTTTTCTCTTTGTCGATTTATTCCGTTGTGTTTTCCTTTTATCTTTCGCCCTTGCTTCTACCGAGTGCTGCAGTCCCGCGAATTATTCCGTTGTTTATTGTTATTGTAATGAGCCAGACGTTCTATATTCTAGGCTTCTTCAACCAAATATCTTGAGATGCTTTGCTTTCGCCCACCATTCATGTCTGCGTGGGATGTAACGGGGTGGAGGGCGACGAGCGGAAGGGATACCACGCGAAGTGGTCACAGTGCCTCCGCGCGATAAACGAACTTGTCTGCATATTCACTCCACCTCTGTTTTATTTTCTGTCATTAGTTTCCTGTTCTGCGTCGATGCCGTTTATGCCGCTAAGGATTCTCTTTCATCATCACTCTGTAGTTCATTTACATTATATTCTCCTTTTCCTTGTTTCCACCTTTTATCCTCGCATGTATGGGTCCTAGGTATCCCTTACCACAACTACTGAAAACTGTCCATAAGCAATATCTTGTTTTAGCTGCCTTCACGCTCCTTGTTGCTGCGTTTACAGCTGCTCCTTAAAGCTCCTCATCTCTGTCCATTATTTATTTTTCTTATCCTCGTCCAGCCAGCCAACCAGGTCTTCTTATCCCCCAAAAATGCTCACTTTATATTTATTTCCTCCTTCTCTCATCCTGTTATCATTCATGTCCTACATCATTTCTACTGTTTTCTGTCACGGCTCCCTTTGTCCTCTTCTTAAATATTCCACATTCTAATTTTTTTTTAATGCGTATCCGGTGCCCTTCGCCCGGTCATTTAGTTCTGGAACTTCGTGGACTTCCGTCGGCTTTTTTCATTCTCTCTCCGTTCCCTCCCCCCCTCCCCTTCTTTTCTCCGTTTGTCTGGTATTACCTCCGCTATCTATCTTCCTTTCATCGCCTACCGCCCTAGAATAAACCCCATACGCCCTATTTCTTTCTTTCTCTACTATATCACTCAAGAAATACGGCACGCGCAAAATGAGTCTTTAATGCATGGTTCCGCCCTAGTTAGCATTTCAATCCCCTCTCCTCCAAATTTTCCTCCGACTCAGGCTTGTAGATTAAATAGAAAAAGCACGTCTTTTATTTAGTCCTAAATGAATATGATATGGTATATCAAGAGATGAACTAGCAATAGCAAAATAAGATGCAGTGAAAATGTATGAAAATGTATGAGAATGGAATGTAACGGGGGAGGAGGTAGTTTGATGGACACAGAAATTGTACAGTTGACATTTCTATATAGACCTCAAAATAAGTTTTTATGCTACACAAGAAGTGTACGTATATTAGTATAGTTGATGGAGCACAGCTGACAGACATATTTCCAGCTCAGTCAAGTTTCAGAACAGCAACCCAGATTTAAGTAAACTATTCCAAATGACTAAACATCAATAATGTGACACAGAGATGCTGAGTCCCCATTTCATCCGCATTTCGATACATTCCGTGCGGTCAGCGTAGCTACTCCCTCGGATCCATTACAGGGGTATTCGCAAAAATAGACGCATGCCTTGCCTGATGGATAAAGATAGCCTTGCGATAATCACCAACACTCCGATTGTCCTTCTCCTTTTCCGTTGAGGCAATTTATGCTGTCGCCCAATAGTGTATGTATGTACTGTACAATATCCATGCAACATATCTGCTACCTTGGAAATAACTCTGCAGGCCTGACGGAGCATCCTCCTCGCCAGACTCTAATCCGTATTTCCTCTGCCAACTTCCCATCTAAACAGGCCATCTGGGTCCTGAAAGCGAACATCGAATAATAGAGTATTATGATATATGATATCAATAGTTACCGTGCCTACCTCAGTTTATTGCGGCGATGTATCGGGCGGAATTTCGCGGACAAGTTTTAGAATCTCAGATTCATCATCTCCAATCACAGCAGTGCCGTTATTCCAATCGACGACCTACATCATAAAGGAAATTGAAAAAACAGAAAAGCAAATGAGTTAGCCTTCATAGCCCTGAAACAGCAAAGTAGAAGTCCGCACCGCTCCTCAAGACAGGAACCAGTTTGAGAAAAAAAAAAAGGCAAATTAATATCTCAAACTTACCACAGGCCTAGTGAACCTGCTCCCATCCTCCTTCAACCTCCTCATGGCATCCAATCTATTCCGCGCCCCCTGTACAAGGTCACCAGGCATCGCCATCACCGCCCCGCCTCTCGCTTTCGCCACGTCCCCGCCCACACCAGCACCCACGTAGTCCAAAATACTTTTCAGTTGGTCAGGCGTAGGCGGCTCCTCTGTCACATTCAACTCGAACTCGGACCGGCGGCTTGCGAGAGCGCCGGAGTCTTCGTCACGGATTGCAGCGGTGGCGGCATCGGTATTGGCTTGTTTGAGGAGGGCGAGGACGCGGGTGGATGCTGGAAGGGAGGGTTTATGGAAAAGAGTTATTACGTCGAGGGTTTTGTGCTGATTTTTTTTTTTTTTTTTGTTAGTTGGTTGCAATTGGAATGGAGATCAAGGAGATAACGTTTGACGTACGAAGCGGAACATTTTGAGGACTCTTTTATTCTATGGTCTGTATGAGAGTATAAGAGAGTGTGTATGACATGTTTTTATTGTTGTGGTTGTAAAGCTATTGAGTTGATTTGGATTGGAATGACGATGGTGAGCTTCAACAGCTTGTTGGATCGGTTACGTCATTGCCACGGAAGATTGAGTTTCCCCATATCAAAACATGAGCAACGAACAATATATATCGAAACATAAACAAAGTAAACAGTAAATGGGGCACTGTATATAACAATGGCCAACTCAATGGTTTTTGTGATATTCAAGAGAAGGGAGGTCAGATAAATGAATTCCATGGTTTTAAATGAAATCCGACTTAACACTCGGTGACACATGTGTGTATATATATCAATGACGGCTTTACTTTTGCCATATCTAATTCATGACTACATCCAGTTTTTATTTGTTAGCCGTTGATCGTGATATTCGCTTTGAAGCAATCAGCACGACTAGCATGACTAATAAGGCAAATATCGATGTCCTGAGACCCCATTGACTGCTGCTTGTTGGCGTATCTAGTCACGATTTGGAAGCGTCTTGCTTATCTCCCTCCGCTGGAATTATCCTCTCTAAGAATTTCTGTAAGTCTAGAATCTCCGTCGGGTCCGCTGAATGACCTAAACCACTGTAATTGGAGTTAGCGTCTTCGAGAGTCCAGGAAGCAGTATTCTGTGGCTAGAGCATAGGTGGCAGGAGAAGGAGCAAAAACATACGGATATTTATTAAACTCTACCGTCATTCCCAGTCCCTTTATATGATCTGCCGACCTCTGACCCCATTCATATAACACAGTAGGATCGGAATCGCCATGAGCCATGAAAACGGGAGTCTGTTTATTCGGAAATCCATCCGGCATGAACGTTGATAGCTTCTCACTTAATGGTAAATAGCAGGAGAGACCAAAGATGCCACCTAGCTTCTCCCTCTGCGTAATACCGGTGAAAAGCGACATGGCGCCACCCTGAGAGAAGCCTCCCAAAACGATACGCGAAGGGCTTATGCATTTATCGATTTCTTCTTTGATCAAGGTGTTGAAATAATCGCGTGATTTCAGGATTCCGCGTTCATCCTGGAGTCTGGAGAATTCCTCAATAGGAACCTATTGATGTTGTGATTTGAAAGTGACCAGTCCTTATTTAGCAATTATAATTCTGCGGCAGGATCATGACTTGGGGGTGGACTAAAACAAACATTCGCTCCCAATTTCACGATATCATACCAGCCTGGCATCGACATTCCGAAGTTCTATATCCAGCCATCACACCTGCACATTAGCGGACTTCTGTTCATAAATGATTCTAGCCAATCTATTTCTGAACCTCTTTTCCATCAGTAGGTATAATTTCCTTACAATAGTAATAGGAATAGATGGCGCATTCGGGAAAATAAATGCAACCTCATCGAATAAGCCCCGACGCCGCCAATTTTGCGCTAGCATGAGCCTTTACACTCCCAAATAATTGAGTTTCAGTTCGTCAGTTGGATAACCGAAATTCGTTGATACATTTGGCGCCGCAGCACGGTATTGCATTTATGGCCTGTGGGAGATTTATCCATACCAACCTGCACCACTATATATCGACAAGCGGACAAAATTGAAAGTCAGATAATTCAACTCTTATTCATTTCCCCCCAAAATTTTCTCACGTCCTCTAACTTCTGAAGACAAGTCACCAAACCCTTAGAGGGTTGCAAGGATTGGAGGACGAACCTATCACCCAATCCATGGGCCATGATAACAGTAGCAGTGTGCCTTGTCAGGGCGGGTACAACGAGCGGTGCTGCTGCAGCCATGATTGGTCCAGGAAGCTCTTGCAACGAAACTGAGAAGATATGATAGAATGAACAACTCGCAAGTTTACTTGAATAATTTGAGATAAATTGCACCTTGGACAGGGCTTTGTCTCAGCGATTCTCGCATATTCTGCCTTGGTTCGCCGCTTTGGTTCCTTCTACCAAACCTTAGCGGGCGCGTTCTTAACTAAGATAAAAAGCGTTGCTCCCTCTGTGCAGTCATTAAAAAGCACTGTTTCCATTATCACCCAAAACATAATCTACGTGAAAAACAATCCGCGAACAAGAAGAAAACTGCGACCAAATAAATGAACAAAATTTGCTGCACAAGTTTCTGAAATTACAGGAGCGCGCCCGCGGCCAAAACTACCACGCCCAAAACTCCCCAAGCAGCAGTTTGCAATGATGCTGCAGCACTCCCCGAGGGCTGCTTGCCACCTTGGTTGTTGTCGCCATTTCCACCTCCTGATCCACCTTGGCGCTCTCCATTAGCCGTGGATTCATTGGCATTGATACGCCCGACTGAGGTTGGGAAAGGACTGGCAGTAACACCTGTGCCATTCTTGCAAGAACCATCTGGGGAGTCGTCAGAAGCGCTAGCAGTGAACACGAGGTCTGCACACTGTTCGCAAGACAAGTAGAATAAAATCATCAGCCCATGCTCTTCAATCTTGAAAAATATATATATATGAATGCGAGAAAGGAGCAGCTCACGTTATACAATCCACCTGTGGGATCGCCATTGGTCACAACTTGCAGCGTTGCTTCCATGCCCTCCGTCAACCGTGTGCCAAGCTTCTCCTCGCTCAATTCCACATCGGGCAGACAGAAGTCACCCAGACCTATTTGTGCGAACGTCGGGACCAAAGTGATGTTGAAATTCGTGCCTGGGTCCGAGCCCAGGGCCAGCAGGACTTGGACGGCGCTGTGATCATGGCCCATTTTCAGCGCGATGTTGATCTCTGGGTCAGTGAGGGAGACTTGAGTGCGTTGGCTAGAGGGGGGCAGGCCACCACAGGGGAATTCTGCGAGTTTATCATGGTCGCTGCCGCGGGAACGTGGTTCAATAAGGTCGAAGTGGCCAGAGGCGAGGGTCAGAAGGAATGTTAGAGGGAGGAGGTGCATTTGGACGTGCATGTTTGCGGCTTCAGCAGCTTCCGCTGGTTCAATCGACTTCTCTAGGAGATTGGGACCTTTTCAATCTGTATCAGTTAACGAATATCGGTGAGAGAATGTGAGAATAGAAATTGACGAAGTAAACCTCAATTGGCCAAAGACACCATGAAATTGTTCAAGTTGCAACGCAAATCAAAAATGGAAGACTCAACACTTACAGGGAATGCAGGTGGAAAAACAAAACAGGTTGGTCAGCCACAGTAGCTAACTATCTGATGACACACTGAACGACAACAAAAATGGTATATGAACAGGAAACAAGGAATTATCATGCGCAATTTACAACTTCAAAAAATAAATATGGAGTAATGGAAACCCACGCACGAGCGCACAACGTGGTTATTTAAGAAAGCTGCAACAATCATCATCTCTAGCGACTTGTGGTATGGCGCATGGTAAGACCAAGGACCCTCCACCCTCCCCACACGTTAATATCTCTCTAGCACAGTGTGATCGCCCGGTATGTGATGAGAAACAATCGCAGGCTCCACTTAGATGGCCCAATGCTGAAACCCCATTTACAGTATTATTGGTATCGGTAATTCAAACTGCAAACTGCATACCACTCTCCCCCATAAACATACCATGTTCGTTGGTCATACGCAGTTTATGCCATGCTCTAGCGGGGCTTGAAGTGCGGAACAAGTGAATTTTGAATTCTCGAAGCATTGCAAATAGATAAATGCCATCGCCCTAGAGCACATTAATAATATTCTCCGTATCAGAGCAAAATTTTCTTCAAGGATATAAACTTCCTCGAAATGTATACGCTGTACGGTCGCAAACAAACTCCTGCCGCCAACAAAAGAATATTGCATGTAGGAAAGAATGAAATAGGAAAGGATCAGAGAAGAGAAAAACGAAGGGGATAATGAACAAAAATAATGATAATCTGCTCAATTCTTCTCACAGCATGGGAGGAGCCACCTACCCACAAGAGGTGTTCGAATGCGAATTTAGCTGGCCCCGCTCACTGGGCATCTCCACGCCGCATGGTAGCGCGGGGAGCTCTGACAAACTATGAACAAAGGAGAGCCGAACAAATAGTAGATATATAGTCGATTTGCCCTCGCGGCCACGGGTGATATCAACGGATGCGCACATCTGAATCATGACTGCCCAAGTAATCCATGAAGCTACTTGTCGCGGAGAACTATCCCGCCCTCTCCCACCAAAATGGTTTTAAACCGGAGAAATACTCTCCGTCATCCAGGTTATGTTACGCTTGAGCATAATAAAACTCAAGGCCCGTAATCCCTTGAGCCTGGCTCTGGCGGAGTCACTTTGATCAATTGTTGTACGAGGAAGAATCCTCCCCACGAATCTCAGCCTCGATGCACAATGACCCACCGATTCGGTAAGGGACCAAGACCCATAAGAGGTATGAAATAACCTACATTTTGAGCTAATCGGGTTGGAGATTGCGAGAGGACTAGATTGTGGGAAGCGGAACGAAATCGCTCTTGTACATAAGTATACTCTGGATATTATCCCATAAATAGCACATAGCCAGAAACTGATTCATGGCACGTTTTATGCCACCCTCGCCCAAGAAATAATATTTCAACCCTAAAGGTGGGGGCAAGGAGGGGCCAGAAGTATATCCTTAACACGCATGAAAATTCAACCCGCAAGATCTATTCCATTCTACTACATCTAGTGGAAGAGAAAAGAAAAACAGGCGAGGGCAAGAACTATATACAGGATGAATGGAAGACTAAAACTCCTGGAATCATTAGGTATATCTCTTGTAGATGAGAAATATGTCATACAGCATTCGTAACCCAAAAAGAAAGGAACGCGCATATTGTCATTTCAATGGGTTTCTGAACTGCCGAATCGGCCAACAGCAAGGTCACCAACGAATACACCAGCAAGAATAGACATGAAATAGCCAATATTCATCGTCATTACAGCCAACATGCTATAAAATACCCCATTAGTTTTAGTTCTGCCATAGTCTGCCTGCACTAAACAATGAAACAAATGGGAATGGGAAAAGGATGGGAAAAAAGGATGAAAAAAACCTTACAGCAAATATCCTACACCAGCAATAACCATCACCAAAGCAGCCCGTGGTAAATCATCACTGAACCTGAAGGGCGGTGTACGGTTCAGCGGCCGTCTGATAACCTTCACTTTCTCCTCGACACCATTAGACGTAACCAGATTGGCCGTGGACGCGTTGGGGTCGTTTTGTATACGTTCTGCTTCCGGGGTTTGGCCGGCAACAACGACATATCGACGAGAATATGCCACGGCGGCCCATCGGCGGTCTAGTTGGATTTTGGCCGCAATCAGCGCGCGGAACAGCACAGCGAGGAGGAGGAGGAAGATGCAAGTGCCTGCGTAGGCACCGGCGGACCGCGGGGTCCAGGCATTGCTAAAGAGAGGGGTTGCTTGGATGTTTTGGAAGACCATCACCATGGCGAGTCCGGGATCGGAGGATGATGGCATGGCTCCGCCGTGGCCACCATCACCATGAGGGGACGGCGACATTTTGTGGGATTGGCCTTATATGAAAATTTTTTTGGGTGGAATTGTTTGCCAGATATTCGCTGATAGGTACTATTTGCGAAGATATATCTTTTTCGTTGGAGAATGTAATGGTATATTATGCTCTATCTTTCCTTGGAGATTCAGGTATTCTCGCGAATGAAATGAGTAAGATTGTCTACCCGCCTGATAACTCTCGGAACGGCAGTTTAGCAGCAGAGACACTGGAAAAAACAGGAGTAGCTCTGTTTCAACGAGGCTCTACCGATTCAACATGTGGTAGAATTAACCAAAAATGTAGCGGATGCGACGCTTCGAACGCGAGACATAAATATCTAGCCTGGCAAGTCTGATGGACTTAAGTAGAGAGGTCACGACGACAGCGGATGAGAAGATATAGCAGCAAAGCAAAGACTGCCAGTGGTCGTCGCGGATTGAGGAGATCCTAGGATCCCAGGAGGAAACTGAGTGCTTTGGGAGCGATTTTGAGCATATATCGGAGGAAACCAGCAACCATGTCATGCCGTTCGATCTCCGCCGGCTGCAGATAATGCTTCCACGAGATTTCTTCAAAAGATTTCCCACACCCCCGCCCGAAGTCCAGGCCTCGTTGGTGTCAACGAGGGGGCTCCTTGTTGTCAAAGCCACCCGTAGCAAGCGCACGAGGTATCAAAATCGACCGCCAGACCCGATTTCTGCAGATGTCGCCTCTCTTTTTGGTCAACAAACAGCAGGCCAGCTTTGAGCTATCCAGTTTAGCCGAGGCGGCGGAGGCGCGCTTGAGCAGATTATGTTGGTTTCAGTGCTGCCGCTAAGGGAAAAAAAAAAAAAAACAAAAACCCCCTTCAGAGATCAGTGGAACCTGTTCCGGTAATATTACCAGCAAGATCACCAGGGCATGGCGTAATATTATGCTCATTTTGTCTCTATTTCTGACTGTTGAAAATTACGGCCGTCATTGTCGCTGCCGACACAGGAAGAGCGGCTGTTGCATGATTTGATACAATTTTCATCCCAACACCCGCCCTCAAGCGCCCAGCGGAACACTCTGGGTTGCCTGTCGTTTCTCATGATATCTACTATCCCATGGCGGATGTTTTTATGTCCTAGCCCGTAGTCCGCGATGGGAGAATCATAAAGAAAGTATTGTTGGGCTATGAGAGCGTCTCTCGATATCATATCCCAACAATTGAAGATATATAAATCCATACATATCAAATCAAGTTTTAATTCTATACTCATATATCGGACACTGTTCCCCCGCAGAACTCACGCTTCGGGGTAAACAACTGATAAAATGAACATGAACCATGCCGGCCATGGAGGAGGAGGTGCTCCGAGCACTGGAGACGCTCCCAGCTACTTCTTCATGCAAAAGATGTATTGGGCAGTGGTGGGGAGCACCATCGCGGTAGCTACTGTGGGCAATGTCCTGAACAAGTTAATAGCAGCTCAGAGGTGAGTTATGTCCGTTTCGTACATCCTCAAAACTGGAAACTTCAATGCTAACAGAAAGAGTTGACAGACTGGCTGATTCAGGCCCAACTCCGTCGAAACCAAAATCTCTCTTCTTTACCAGCTATGCCACCATCACTGCCATGACGAGAGAGATTTCCAATTATCCCCTTGGCCCCGTCATTGTAGGCGGTACCAAACTGCATTTGCCCCCTCTGGGGCCGGTAATGCTAATGCTCGCTAATCTAATCGTCGTGCTGGTCCTCTGCTCCTACAAATTAAACTTGATGGACCAATGGAGCTGGGAGAATGTGGGCTATCGCACTGGATTTGTCACAATTTCACAGCTACCCCTAGTTATCCTGCTCTCCAACAAAACCAATATCATCGGCTTCCTCATCGGATCGAGCTATGAGAGACTAAATTGGCTTCATCGGTGGGTTGCAAGGACAATGTGGCTCACCGCAACTATCCATATGGGATTCTGGTTCCGCTCATGGGGCAGATATGATTACATTCTAGTAAAGTTGACTACGGATCCAATCACCCAGCGGGGTTTCGCGTCATGGTGTATCTTGACCTTCATAGTCTTGGTCTCCGTGGCACCCGTGCGGAAACTCAGTTACGAGATCTTTGTATTGGTGCATCTTCTAACCTTTGCCGGCTTCCTTGCAGCTGTGTGGTATCATGCGCAGGATGAGGTGAAGGAATGGGTGTGGATATCTATTGGACTCGTCGTCTTTGGTCGACTCGCCAGACTTAGCGTGGTATTATATTCTAACTTATCAATTTTCCATGGGCTTCGAGGTGCAAAAACCTCGCGGCCCCTTTGGGCTAACAAGACCACTTTCACACCCTTGCCTGGAAATGTTACGCGAATTGTGGTGCCAAACCCACTGATATCCTGGAAACCTGGACAACATATGTTCCTATCATGTCATGGACTGGTTCCGCTCCAAAGCCATCCCTTTAGCATTGCTTCGATCCCCGCGGATGAGAAACTAGAATTCCTTGTGCGCGCTCAAAATGGGGCCACCAAGAACTTTTTCAAGCATGCTTCAAAGAATCTTGACCTATTGAGTGGAGGAGGGACTAGCCTCCAGAATGCTAAGCTGGTGGGAGTTGAAGGCCCGTACGGAACGATACGGTCGCTGCGACAGTTCGACAGCCTCGTGCTCTTTGCCGGGGGAATAGGAGCCACGTTCACGATGCCTCTGATGCGTGACGTTTTAGAGGGCTGGAAAAGGGAATGGTTCGGGAACATACCACAGCGGGGATCGTTTTTCCCATCTCCCAACCGCGCAGTTACGAACCGGATCCGCTTTATCTGGGTAATTAGATCCCGATCACTGCTCAGCTGGTTCTCCGAGCAATTAGAAGCTGCGCTACAGGATATAGATGCATGCCGTCAGAGTAATGCAGCTTTTAAAGGGGAGCTTGAGTTTAGCGTCTATGTTACGTGCGATGAGGAGATGTCTTCAACGACAACATCCCAACCGCAGCTGCTACAGCCAGCGCAACAACAACTTACCAACCGCACTCCTCAGGTAAATGAAGGGGTCAAAGAAGAAATCGAAGAGAAAACCATTGAAACCCTTTCCATCAACTCCACCTCGACAGCTGAAGAATCTAGTCCACCAAAAAGCCCGACCACCTGCCAGCCAGATGGCGGATGTTGTTGCACACGTAAGGTCACTGACGAAAATTCCTCCCTCACTCCCTGTAACTGCTCAGGCCCATCTTCACCTCCAGCTCCTTTAACAGCATCCGAAGAACCAAGTATCCAAGAAAAGCCAACCCCTGCACCAGTTCCAGCTCTATCAAATAAACCTCCAACCACCACTTCCATCACCACGCAACGACCCAACGCCTACCCACACCCCAAATCAGATGTCGACCCACGTATCCGAATCCTTTCTGGTCGACCAGACTCGCGGGGCATAATCCGCAAAGTTCTCGAGTTGGCAGAAGGCGAGAGCGCTGTCGTGGTTTGCGGTCCACGCGGGCTTAATGCTGATGTCCGCAGGAGTGTCGTGTCGCTAAGTGATGAGAGAGCGGTCCACAAGGGCACAGGCGCTCAGGGGATATATTTACACGTAGAAAGTTTTGAGTTCTAGTTCCTCCGTTTTCCTTTTTGGATTTATATTATATATATATTTTGTGTTGAACCTTGGGATGGCGCTGGCATTTTGTTCCTCGAGATTTGGTGGGTACACAGTAGTTCCGGATATTTTCTGCTAATGTAAATACGATTTTGCTCTCCTTCTTCTTTTTGTCCTCATAGACACCAATATCCATCTTTAGACTATCTGCCATCGACCAGCTTCTTGAAAATGCCGGGCACCTAGGTAACCTTGAGACTAGATAAAAACGTGACTTTCGGCAATGCTGGAAACAGCCGAGGTTGGGTGGCCCGTGCACGCCACGTCTATCAGCCACAGATCAATATGGAGCAGGGATTCCCAGAGCGCACCAAAGACAGGATGGAAAAATCGATATCGACGGCTTCCATCCTCCATTCGTTAACGATGACCAGGACAAAAACATCTTGCTTGTTCAGCTTGCCTTTCCCAGTCTCTTCGAGTACCTGAGAAATGTCCCAAAGCTCCTCTCCGTCCATTGTTTAATCTTTGTTGCTTTCATCCGCCTCCGGGTCTTCGTTCTTGGTACATCTATTGCACATATACATGGGCAATCTCCCTTTCTATCTCCCGGTTTCGCGGAAGAAAAAGAAAAGAGGAAACAAGCGTATATTTGCTGCCCTCGGCGTAAATAGGACCGGATTATATCCCAAGCAAAGGATACGGAAGCTAAAACTCCAAGTCAAACTGAAAATATTGAAGTACAGAGCCATCAAGAAGATCAAGAATATTGTTTCCATCAGCTGAATTTTGTGTGTGGGTATTTGCAGCAACAGGTCTGAGCCCCTTCGATGGTTGACGACAGTGTACAGAATATCGAAGAAGCAGAATGGTTCAGGAGAACGGCGCTTCCACACCTTCTCTCCTTGCATCTAGGAGCAGAAATAAAGAAACCGATGGCATCGACGATAACAATGGAGTAACAGAGTGTCAAAGAACTGCTACGAATCTGTCTCCTTCGGTGGCTCGCGCACCGGCTTGTGCAGATAAGAATACTCCCAGTGTGTGGCAAGAGATTGTATCCACAGCCCGGTTCATAACTGGCGGATTGCATTACCCAGTAGAGAATCTGATGTACGTCATATCGACAGTGAGCCAGATTAGTTCAAAACTGTTGGGTAGAAGGGTCTTTACGCCGGAGAGTGATATCGGGGATTTGAGCGGCAAAGTTATACTTGTTACAGGAGGTATGTTCAGCACAATTTTCTCTACCCTGAACATCGCGTAATAGAACTTATATGTTCTCGTCGACAAGTAGAACTTCGTTGAGCTCCTAATGTGTCTAACGACATCACTAGGAAATTCTGGACTCGGCAAGCAAACCGCCCTCCAGCTCGCAAAGCACTACCCATCACGTATCTACCTGGGAGCGCGCACCGAATCCAAAGCACTCACCGCAATAGAAGATATAAAGTCCTCCCTCACCACCGAGCAAATCTCAACCACTGATATCCGCTATCTCCCCCTAGACCTCTCGTCATTTCAGTCTATCCGCAATGCCGCGTCCATCTTCAGATCTGAAAATAACAGACTCGATATCCTAATGCTCAACGCTGGTGTAATGGCCGTGCCTCCGGGCACTACAGAGGACGGCTACGAGATCCAATTCGGCACAAACTTCCTCGGCCACTTCCTCCTCACCAAACTCCTCTTACCAATCCTCATCCAAACAGCAAAAGCCCCTGGTACTCCTCAACAGCCGACAGCAGACGTACGCGTGATCTCAGTCTCATCGCTAGCCTGGCAACTGGCCCCTGCCCACAATCCTTTGGAGGTCATGACATCCACAAGGAAGCTGTTATCCGAGAACACCTGGACGCGCTACGGCTGCTCCAAAGCCGGCAACGTCGTTCTCGCAGCGCAATTAGCCCACCTCTACCCGCAAATCACCTCTGTATCTCTGCATCCAGGTCTAATCATGACCAACTTGTACTCGGCAACCAAGTCCTCTAATCCTCTTGTTAAGTATGCAACTGCCCTGGCGAGTCCTTTGTTAGCGAGTGAGGAGGAAGGGGCGCTTAACCATTTGTGGGCGATTGGAGTGGAAAAAGAGATGCTGGTTAATGGGGCTTATTATGAACCCGTTGGAGTTTGGGCAAGGAATTGGTTTGCGGAGGACGAGACACTCGGTGAGGAGCTGTGGAGGTACGCGGAGCGGGAGGTTAGAGATTGGATTTGAATTAGTCAGAGCGGTTCGAAGAGTGGGTGCAAGAAAATGAAAAGAGATATATCGTCTTTGGCCCAGTGCATGCCAACCCTCTGTCGCTGTGGTCGAGGTCTTCCTATTGTTAATTGTCTTTCATCGCACATTTGTCGGATGGCTTGCTTGATCTGTTTTAACATGGCATCTTTTTTATTAATTGCGTATCTTCCACTATAGATAGATTCAGAAGGATGCTGCTCTCCTTATCGTTAATACACTCTCACATCTTTTATTTCCTTTATAGATCCATCGCTTTATGTTTCCTTCCATGGTAAAGCACGGTTTAAGTGTAATAGGGCCCACGATGTTAACGTTTGCTGGGCATGACATTGTCATTCCGACTGGCGAAGCAAAGAGACAAACAGAGGTGACTTGTTACATACAAAGCTTGGAGAACGAAGATTAAAGTGGCCAACTTCATCTTTACAAGAAACGACATTACTAGGACATTCAAAAGGATGTAAAACGCCGAAATCGGGAGAAATCCTTGTGGGAGCAGGACGTACGGTGACCTTAGAACTATATGTGGATGTACCGTTGCCTCAAACAAAATAATAAAATCTCGTTGAAATATTCTCATATAATATATAATTAGCCGTTTACTGACTTGTATTCAGGAAATTTCCATGCATCAGTATCGGATATTTACCGTCCTCTTCATTGTCCCGTCTGCCCAACAAAAGGAAGACCACAGCGTCACATCTATAAAATGAGGCAAAGCCGGATGTTTCCACCACACTCATTAATATCTCTTGTTTCCGAGAGCCTATCGTCCCGTTAGCTCGCTGGAGGAACGGTTAATCTCACGAACACGGCTACAAAAGCGGAGTGCTGGGGTTGGACGGCTTGAAAATTATGTCTACGTTTGTTTTCACGCTTGTTATGAGTTGTAGCATCGAATGACATGTATCCTATCCTGTTGACTTGACGGACACATTTTCTGTATGCTTAGTTTTATGTTGGAATTCACATTTAAGTTCTCATGTCCACAAGTGCAGGTCGGGAAGCGGGCTTGTTCGAAAGTGACCTCGTTTGCTAAACCTCTTCACATTTGCACGCAGTCGATTCTGCTTCCTACTCCTCCCCACCCTCTTTCTCCCTCGTTTCATCACTTTCCTCCTTCTCATATTTTCCCTCGTTGACTTCTTTTGGACCTCAATGGTTATTTCTTGCATTCGAATTCTTCCACTTCTTTACAACTTCCACCTCGTACATCTTGGTTATATTAAACACACAAACACCAAACCTATAATATCATACCATTCCGCGGGCATTCAATGGATATTGACACCCTATACAAGAGAGCAATGCTCGCTATCTACCCCTTGCTGAAACCGCCGACCTGGTGTAACTGGCGATGGAATGGAACGGGCTGGCAAGAGAAAGACGACAGGAGTAAGTCGGTTATGGGGGATAAGCCATGACAGAAATAAATCAGAGACGCTTCGGAATGATTAGTTCTAATCATACATATGTCCAGCCTCTGGGGAGGGAAAGATCTCATCAGCGGAGGCAAAGACACAGACTCCAACGCCAGCGACTTCTCTCCAATCGGCACAGGATGTCGGCCGTCCAGCTGCGCAAATACCATCTTGTTGGATGTCTGACATTCGCGAGCTGTCCACGTTTGTTACGCCCGCTGGTGATTCCTGCACCGACGAAGAAAGGTTCACCGATTGGGGATCTTCAAACAGCAACGGAAAACCCGCATCTGGCTCTGACAGTACTGACGGTACTGACGATGACTCCATTTCCGAAGAAGAAGAGTTCACCGCCCAAACGCCTAGAGAGAGTGAAACAAGGCCTATTGTCATAGTTGACTCTGAACAAAAGGTGCAAGATAGGCATCCTATGCAGAATCCAGAGTCGTTTCACTTCCTCGAAGACGTTGAGATGGCGGACTGCGAATGGGTGGAAAATTTTGCGGAGGAGAAAATGGACTGGGAGTGGTCAGAAGCTTCAGGAAAACATCCGCTGAACAAGTCACCTCCGGAGCCATCTCTCGAAATCGAATCTCGGTATCACCCAACTTGGCTTCCCCATAGGACTATAATCCCGCCTTCTGTAGGGAGGACGAATGAACAGGAGGTTGAGGCTGTTGACTTCCTCCTCGACCTCTCACGAGACCATCCACTACAGTGGGAGATACTAGTGGGTATGTATTTCAGCGAGGGTAGACACCCGCAAGCGTACCTCGGACGTGATGGAAAATCCAAGGAAGTACTCAGGGGAGAATATTGGGAGTGGAGCTGGGCTCTACAGGATATTCGTGAACAGTGTCCACGTACGGCGCCCGCTCCGTACACGATGCCCGCAGGGCAGGAAGGAAAATTCCTAGAGTCTATTACCGAATCAATCCTAGATGGTAACGAGGACTTGTTCCTCCGGGCTATCAAGATATGGCAATTGGAAAGGATGTCGTACGACAAATGCGCCCTGGAAAACATTATGAAGCGGGCAGGCTGGTGCTATGATGTATCATCGACGCGGGAATGGCAGCTTATGGCAGAGCTAAAGAAATTGCCTGCAGGGTCAGATAAGGCCGAAATTTTAGAGCAGGCAATCCGGGAACTGCCCCGGTTCGCATGGAGGTGTATCCACGACCCGAACTGCATGTTAGTTATATTTCCAGAGCACTTCTTTTTTGTTGTTGTTGTCGTCGTCGTCGTCGCCGTAGCCTTTTCATATATTGAATCCACGTGACTAACTAGTTTACACGTGATATTTATTTTGCTTTTAGTTGAAGCTTCATGCGCCCAACTTTTGCACAAACACCACCCTGATCGCGCTCAGCTCTACGGGCTGTTAATCACCAAAATACTGTCACTCCTGTTTTCCCGCCTACGTCTGAAATCTTTCTGCTTCTATGGAGTATCACGCTGTTCCTCCGGAGGAACGCGCAAGAGATGAGAAAGGAAATGTCCTGCCATGGGGTTATGTTTACAAGGAGTATGTTATTCTCTCAAGTCCGTCATTTTTATGCTCTATCCGTGCTATGTTATGTATATATATTTCTTTCATTTTAGCCACATTCTCTCGGTGTTTTGCGCAGTCATTGTCATTGTTTACTCCCTCATTTGGAACAGCTAACAAAGCTAAATTGCATGATAGTGAATCACGAAATCCACGAAGGCCCCCAGAAGAGAGCGGTCCTTTTGGGAAAAGAAGGAATGCGCGTTATAACTCTACTCGATCTGGAACTCGAACGGGAACTCCCGCCAGAAAAGAAAACCCAAACGTAGCGGATTCAGCAAGCTTTTCGCGCAGCAACAAGAGCAAGAACAGAGCCAATTAAAGCACCCACCCCCGTCCATAGCCAATCATTCTAGTGATTCACCTCCGAAAGCCTGTTGAAAAAGTTGCTACGGGAGTGCATCCTTTATGGCTACAAGAACCAAGAATGTGAGTGGAAAAGTCATTGACAAGTTCGAGCGAATATCACAAGGCATGATATCCGAGGATTATTCCAGAAACGGTCCCGATTTGGCACAAAAACATCCACAGCTGTTGAGCGGCCGTGACGTTGTTATCCACCCAAATTTATCTGCCGATGCCAACAAGAAAGCGAAACGATATGCTGGAGGATATCACTGGATAAAAGTCACATTTGACTCTGCTGTTGCTGCTGATCGTGCCTGCTTCTTCTCCCCGCAAGACATAGATGGCTTCATGGTGTTTTGTGAACTATACCATGGTCAGGGCCCACAAAATGATGCTCCGATTCCTAAAGAGTCTGTCGAGTCAGTTCGGCCGCGATTGAAGTCACATACTTTAGCTTCCTCTCAATCCAGCATATTCGTTCAACAACGCTATGATCTTGACCGATCGACTCTCCCTCGCTCTTTCACTGCAAATACAATATCGACGGACGGAACTATAGATGACTCTGCTACTTCTCAAACACCAACCGTAACCGCCAGCTCTGCCACAGCCACCGATCAAGGATCAACCAGCACCCTGCGCCAACGACGAACATTACCTCAGCTCCAATCCCAACCTGAACCTCATCAAAAACCGGAATCTGATTTTATGACCCACATTCCAACAGTCCGTCGTGCTGTTTTGCGACCAATTTCTGAAGCACTTCCTCCCCAACCATCTGTTGTTGAACGAATCCTTCGGTCTATTCCAATATTGAGCTGGTTTACTGGGGACATCGTCGGTGATGGACCTGTCCTTCGCGAAGACGGATCGCTCGATTATGACAAGTCAAACGCTTACTGGCGCTTCTGGTACATGATCGATAAGCTTCTTGGAACCGACTTGTGCGGTCTCAAGGATGAGTCCTGATCCTCCAGAAATGCCATCTCAGTCAGTAGCTTCATACATTTAGAAATTGCCATTAATTACGCGTTTATTTCATCTCTATCACAATAATATCCGACTAAAATTTGCCCCGCCTCTGCCTTCGTTGGCAATTACGTCTATTTCCAAGTGATAACGTTGAAATCTATCATCTGCGAATTTAGTGGTGTGGCTCAGCAAGGTTCGTGGAAATTTTGTTGATCACTCGCACTATTGATTATAAACTTACCATTACGCCTGCAATGCATTGTATTTATTCACTCTAGAACGACGAACACACTTCATACGTGAGCATTATTAACGACTGACCTTACCATATGAAATGCCGGGATAAATAAGACTTGAATATTCGCTATTTCCATCATTCCCTTTGCCATCGTCTCGTCGAGGGAGCCATTTATCCGCTCTATCCTATATTCCCCCTTACCCGTCCAATAGGGTATGTCCTAATACCATATACTTAATTCCACTGACGTTGGAAAGGTCATCAGTTTTGTGTATTTGTCACAGGAACCATCAAATGGCGTTCTAGATCCGCAAATGCTCTATCCCATCACCTGACATGTTTTCACTTTCCAGCTTCCTCGCCCCTTTCAAGGGTGAAGAGCAGATGTTCCATTTTCTTTAAACATGCTCCAACGGATGCGATGTGGCCACGACATAATGCGTTATATTTACTTATTCATTTTATTCCACTTTCCCATACACCATAGACCCGCCTTAAAACCAAACCATTTCAAGGTGTAATTTAGACTTATATTCATAGAGAGAACAAAGTACCTCGAGCCGAGTGCCCAAATTCAGATTCCCCCAAGAATTCCACCTAACTCTTCTCCTGGTCTTTGCCAATTGCAGCTCCAACCAAGGTCCTTCATTTAGGCAAGCAAGGGCCAGAAAGGAGCCGGGCAGGAAATCGATGCAACAATCCGAAGAATCATTGGAAACGGTATATAAAGCAGCATTAAACCTGTGAATGGTATTCATGGAGTTCCAACTCTTATATACATCCATAAACCAAAAAAGTTTTTCGTACCAAAGATGCCAATGCAGCTAAACTGTTGTCATCCTAAGCCACCCTCTCCCTGTGGGACGTCTTAAGTGGTTGTATTAGCATGTCGGCCTAGTAGCATAGAATTCATCCAACTTTGTTCTAACAAATTCCTGTTGCCAATCCCCCAATCCCAGTATAAAGAGGTCATGGTAGGTACTCTCAGCCCACTTTTCACCCAGAGATACAAGTTTTGTCTTCAGTTTCTGGAAGGTTGCAAGAGGGGTGTGGAAATCGTCATTCCTCAGGCGTAGATCCCTGATCTTCTTGATGGTAAAGAGGCGTTCCTCTGCATGAGATATTGCACATCGTCGGGCAAGGTTCTTCCATATGATGGCAGCAAGATAGTGTCATCTAGGGGTCCTAGGGAATCGCGTACAGTAGCATTCAAAGATTGAAAGATTCTTGTGTAAAGAAGCTCATTTTTCTTGTTCCAAAGCTCCATATCCAGAGGCACTGTGGTAGGAGGCACTGTTTCTTCCTTGATGAGAACATCTTTCGCCTGAATAAGATGAGCATCTGCTAGAATAGAGCTCTTCTATTCCAGATAGTTGTTAGATCCAGTGAGAACAACTGCATGCCTCCCCTCCAACTTGGCTTTGGCATCCTTGCGAAATTCATCAATCTCATTCTTGATAGGGTCCCCAGCAGTAGGTGATAGAGATAGCTTCTGCATAATCATCTCCATCTGTTCATCATGCCTTGCTATCTGCTCACTCTGTCTTCTCAATTATTCCATCATCATCTGTATCAAGGTATCGGTTGTAGAGCCCGGTGGCCCAGGGGTAGTGGTAGGTTCGTATTCATCATTGCTAGCTGGGGTATCCATCCCCATGGTCCATCCCCATGGTAGCTCGAGTTCTAGGAGGCATTCTCCCCCTTATATCAATCAATTTTTAATCTTTTCCCGCGATCAAAGCACTTCTAGCCTTCGTCAGGATCCCTTCTGCTGATCAGCGTAGCAGCTCACGAGACGTTAGATGCCTCAGATAGGCAGTGGAAGGTTCTTAATATATTTATAAAAAAAAACAAGCAATCCGGGCTATAATCTGTGGGACGTCTAAGTGGTTGTATTAGCATGTCGGCAGCTGAAGCATATATGTGCGCTAGCGTGATGACAACCTAGGGCCAACACTCCCTCCCTTTCGCAACGATGCTCCCTTTCCACACTTACAATAAGCATGCAGATAGAAAATCAGGATAAAATGGGGGAATGCAAAATTCGTCACAAACCAGCCGAACTAAGGTTTTACAATGTTTTAATTTAAGAAGAAACTGGGGAAAAAAAAAAAAAAGGTGATCGGAATTTGCACGCTGGGGAGATAACGAACCGTGGTGGGGGTAAAAGCTGGAACTGACGTCACGGCTTAAAATCGATGGGATGGTTGGGCCATACGAGATACGGATCAGAACGGACAGCACACACTACTCTGCGTTGGATGCTGTATGTAGATAGCAAGTGATTATAGATACGCGTAAGCCCAGAGAATAAAGGACCTATCAAGTTGAAGAATCAAGGCAATAAGAGTTAAAAGAAAGAAAAGAAATCAACCTGATAATCAAACTCACCAGTTACTAATGTGCATATTTCATGAATTTTGCATTCCGCTGCTTTGCTTTCGGCTCATGGACTTGGTAATATGAAGTAACTTCAATTTTTCCGTTTTCCCCTGCTGGTCTTTCTGACCACGGCTGGGAAATAGAACAAGGGAATGAAACTAGAAATAAAAAAAAAGGGAAGAAAAGCATAATAGTTTGCTGAAATTTGCTAAAATGGATTCCCTGGAGTGGTATTTATGATAGGTTGTCATTTTTTGTTCTTTGGTTTATTAAGTCCATTCCCTTGATCATTCAACCTTGCTCTCGAAGTTCTCTCCTTCAACTAGATCTGGAATCTCGTCATCGTCGTCATCATCATCCTTCTTGGCATCCTCTCCACCTTCCCCCTTCTGCATGCTCTGATAGCTCTCTGCCAATTTGCGGAGAGAAGCCAAGGAGTCAGGTCCCAGTTGGTTGAGGATTCCAGGTACAAGCTCGGTGAGCTCTTTATCTTCGCCATTGCCGTAGATGGCGAAGGTGTTGCTGGGCACGGAGGCGTGGACTGTGTTGTGAATATCGGAAAAGAGAGGAGCAGCGTCAGAATTGTAAATTCTAATGTCGACGACATCAACATAACGGATGGTTACAACGCACCTTTAGGGGCAGCAAAGTGGATGACATTTCCGTCTTCCTTGAACATGTTGACCTCCTCAATGGCCTGAATGGGCTGCACATTCAGCTTCTTCAGCGACGTTTGCAGCTTCTTGTCATCGGTTCCTGATGATTTGTGAACCTTCTTCGTCTTGCGTCGTGGGGTGCCTTTGCCTCTACAGAAAACAGAAACATAAAATCATTAGCCACCACCATGATATCAATTCAATTCGAACCGGCGTTTCTCCATTTCTACAAACAATAATCAAACAGTCACTGTACTCCTACTGCTTGACAATGACAAGATCGTGGAATAATATATTTGGATACTTACCCTAAATAACACCGCAACTGTTAGCTATCATCCAACCTATCAAAAAAATGGGAGTAGTATTGCCCGGAAAAATCATTAAAAGAGACGGGGGATTGGTCTTTGCAACACTTACCAATCCGCACACTCTGCTGGAGTCTAGCCAATTTTGCCTGATCCATGATGGCCAATTGAATGTAATGGAGAGAAAAGAGAATTCAAGGATCCGCAGGAACGAACGAGGACGAAAGAAAAGGTAAATCCGTTCAAGCTATCTGTTGTCAAGCAAAATAAGGCGCGAAAATTTGGCGAAATTAATTAGCCCGTCCGTACAACTGAGCGAAGTGCGCACACGATTGGGGATGACCGATTTGTGGGAACAAACATATAACGTACGCGGGGTCGCAACGTAGTTGCTTTGCGTATGAGTCGACAGAGAAGTAGGGGCACGTACCAAGAAAATAGCTTTGAGAAGATATATTCAAGAAGATAAGCTGAATGGCTGCTGGTTTCTTCGTGCTATCGAGTAATTTTTTGCTCGTCGATGCGGCTCTCTCAGCCGATGGCGAGATTAGTCAGCTATAGTGCCGGATATATTATTATCCGAGAAGCTGAGCCCTGAGCTTAATTTAACCTCACCGTTGTTCCTCTATCGCATACGGTCAGCACGTCGTCGAGCACAAGACTGCGTTAATCATTAATACCGTGGACGCGAAACGGAACGAAGAACATGATAATGAGAATAATAATAAACGAACAAATAAATTAGAATAAAATGAAAAGTTGCAGGGTAGGATAGAGAAGAACATTTACACAGGAGATACAATCCATATACAACCTGCACTTCAACACACAGATCCGTACTGGAATACAGAAACCAAATGCAACTCGCTAAAAACAACAAATTGGTCGCATCGGAATACATTTTGCAGATTAATAGAGAAAGACGCCATGTAGATGATACTGAAAATGTCATAAAGGGAATGAAAACAAACTAATCAAAGTCGTCCGCTATTAGGGCCTTCAGTTGGCTTAGCTTGTCCTCGCAATTGATATCCATTTTCATCAGAATATCCACGCTAGCACTCTTGCTAATGAGCAACTGAGATACGAGCCAGAAATTGTAGGCTCCTCTAAAGAACCCCACCCCTTCCCACTCATCGCCATGAAGCTCCGTGCGAAGGGAGATCCACAACGACCGCCAGTGTTCAAGAGCGACCTTTATGCCACTAACAGTGGTCAACTCTTGTTGATTTGCGTTTCCGTTTCCAAATCGCGGCATCGACAGGTTTATAACCAGATGGATGTGAGCGAATATCACTGCGAATATGAGCTTTGGTTCCCCTGAGGAATTGACATACGCATGCTGTGATAAACTTACGGTGGATGAGGTGGAACATGTCCATTATCCCTAAGTGTAATTTGTTTGTGCAGTGGTCAACGAAAAGGGGCCGGACAGGCCCATTTTCCACGAACAGATTTTGAAAAGCCTGGTACACGGTCATCTCGCGGCTGAGTCGGAAGTTTGGCTCCAGGAATGGGTGTCTAGCCACAAATAGAGATTTTTGACAAGGTAAGTCGCATTGAAGTTCACAGTTCGTCAATCTCGAAGGAAAGTTCTGATAGAATGGCATTGCGCAGTCGATCATTGATAACAGCGCCATCGTTCTCGATAATGTCAGCTGGAGAACAGCAAGCAACATTGTAGAAGTGCTACAACAGCAACTGACCTTATCCGACACTCTTTCTGGAGCCAAAGACACTCATCCATTTGCTCTTCGAGGCCATGTCTACATTTCGTCAATCGCATTTGACGTGCAACCTATCCTACGGGTCAGATGGCTGATTACTGTAAATGACATTCAACATGTTCATCGGGCAGGACTAACCTTGACTATCTCCCCCAACCTAACCTCTACCATTCGATTCATCGCAGTCCTAGTTCCTCCCCAGTATTGTACCAAAAACATCAAATATCCCGCTTGGAAATTTTCAAAGCTCCTCCAGTCCGTCTTTACATCGACTTGACATTGGGTGGTCTTATATGATTGAGCAATATCAAAGTCTTGGGAATATACGTCGGTGGAGAAAACGTAAGCCTCTATTAGATCGAACATCTTTTTCGCAGTAAGTTTTTCGGTCGCATTCTCTGAATACGTAGCTCCCATAAGGACCATGGCAGCAAGAAGCGGAGATGCTGTTGCTTCGGGATTGAATGTCGGCTGATGTATCATTGGACAGTTACTTTGCCAGTGATCAAAGTAGAGGGAGATAAATTTTTGGATTCTTTGGGTCATTAACAAGGATCGTAGCTCTTGCGCAATCCCCATTGACGTCATATCATCAAATCCCAACTCCCATGATTTTGACAGGATCGACTGTATCAAGTTCGTCGAGTAATGACTTTCTGGCTCAAAATATGGGTCAGTGGAAGATGTTAGGGTAAAATCCTGAATGGAAGTCGCGGATGGTTGAGTGAATGAAGTGGAGGTTTCGTCCGGATGAAATCGAGTACTGTTGTTGCATTGGTTAAAAAACTGAAGAAAACCGTCATTGTAAAATGCGACATCCACAGGCTGGCTCTCGATACCCGACTCAGGATGATTGGTATGATCGCTATTTGGCAAATTGGCAGCATTCCGCGTACTCATGGCTTGGTTCACGTTTCCCACATTATGGCTATGGCCACTCCCAGCCCAGGAAAGAGGTTGGGCTTTGTCATGGCGGGAGGGGAGATGGAAGCCTTTTATAAAGCTATCAGTGCCTCCATTGAGTAAAAACTTAACTGAGCCTCGCTCATAAGTCTGATCAAAGTCGTCAGATTTCGTTGAGTCTGTTGTCAGTTAAGAATATTATCATATAATATTGGGAATTAGCGCATATAACCATTCACAAGTTAATCACGCAAGAATTAGGGGCATGATATACCAGTTCTCGTCTCACTATCGTCACATGGATTCGACATTTGACGAGTACATGGAATGTTTCTCTTTAAGCATGAGCTACAGGGACACGCTCCATCACAACGTAACTTCATAGAAGTACACTGTAAGTGAAAAACGTTACTAAATCTGGGAGATCGTGAGGGGGGGAAAGAGGGAACTTTCAGATTCACAAGCATGACGTCTCCTGCCTCTTTGGCTAGTCTCCGGAATAAGACGATCCCCACGCTGAGGACAATCATTATAATGATCACGCAAGTTATCGCTTCAGATAAAATCAGAAACTGCAGAAAGCATTGGCATACGATGGATCTCACCAACGAGCGAACGCAGTGCCGCAAAATATACAGGAATACGGCCTTATTCCAGTATCTATGTTACACCTGAGCATAGCCCACCGGAGTCACAGCATAAAAACGCAATTGAAAGAGAAAGGGGGAGAATAGGGAGAGGCGTAGAGCACGTACGGCGGAGCTGGTGACGTTTCAGGTGGTCAATACGAGTAAACAAGCGGTCACAAACAGCACATTTGAATTGCTTCTCGGGAGTCTGCCTCATAATTCTGTTGAGGGACATGGGTATGGTATGCCTGAATTGCGCACGCAGATGCATCCAGTGCATCAAGCGGCATATGACTATGTACGAGACACGAGAATAGGAAGAGATAATAGGTAGGGCTGAACAAAGTGGTATCTGGATCAGTTAGCTCAACGTTGGTCCCCAGGCGCTGGGCACGTGGACTGATTTCAGCCCCTGAAGAGCTAAACTAGAACAGGCGAGCCACCGACGCTACCACTTTTGTTGAGTCGCCGTGATGCCAGCGATTCACAGCAATGAAGAAGTTGAGGCTGGGTCTCCACGGGATTCGGGTGCCGTCACCACTGTCAGGTTGCAATCTGTTGCCCATCGTGCCTCGCAAAACCGATCTTATATGTTCCTTCAGCCCCTAAAACGAGAATCCCCAGCTGCTGCGGTATTGATCACATCTCAAGGCTTATTTATCGAGAGCGAGCATTTGTGGAAGCGAAATGTCCAGCACATTCGCAGACCTGCTTCCATTCCATTTACATATCCGCCCATTACTTCTTTCTTTGCCTAAAAATGATTGTCAGTCTTCCTTGCCGGTAGGTGTCTATATCCCTTGCCAGTGTTTAAACAGAACTGGCCTATCACCGACTCGGATTCGAAGTACACAGAGACGCAGCTCAAAACCCCTTTCCAATTTTGCTTGATTGTTCGGCTGAGATGGATGATGTTAACCATTCCCACTCCTCTTCCAATCATTTGAACTGGGAGGCAACGGGTAACCACTTTCGTCCTTAGGGATAAAACCTGGACAACGGACGACAATGCGACCTAAACTGGAGCTGTCTCTGGCGTGTGCAAGGCCAGTCACCAGATGTGTATATTGAAGCTTTATCGCCTCAGCGTATTCCGTAATATGCGCAGATATGGACTGCTCAACAGTAATGATCAAAATCAATAATGAATTGTCCCGAAATACGTCTAACTTGCTTAGTTATAACTGGCATGATTAGAAGTGAAGAATTCCCAGAACACCTTACCAAATGAGAATGGCGTCGAGCCTTGCAAATAAGTGTGTTGCAAATGACATACATTTATCCATCGCTTCTCAGTGCTGCTAATTGGGCATCTAGATCAAGATCCCTAACACTAATCCATCAAGTCCTGACGAGCTTTGGCTATCTCGAGGAATGTTACTCCATGGATTCAACGATATCAGTTCGAGTGTCTGAAGTACTCTCGCCTCGGCATGATATAAGACTCCGAACAGCAATGGAGTAGCTCCACTGATTGATTCGGTGTCGATGCCCGTTCCTTTTTGGATCAAAATTCCAACTACTTCATATCGAACGCCAATGCCACATAGGCACTGAATTTTGTAATGATGTGGATTCGGTACTGGCCCACAGTTGCTGGCTTTGGTATTCGTCGAGACCCTCTAGTCGGGTTACACGTTGGCTGAGTAACCGGCGGGGTCAGCCGACGTGTAGTCTCAGAGCTGGTTAACCAATCTTCCTCTGGCAGCTCCATGAAAAAGGGTACATACACCCTACGACATTCTTCAAGTGAACATTTGTTCCCTTGACAAGAAGAAAGCGGATAACCTCCTCGTTGTAACCAGTCGCGGCTACATGCAGAATTATGTTGCCGGCATCATTAGCAAAATGGACGTCAGCCCCATTGGCTATCAAGCGTTGAGAAAGGTGTGTATTTGGCTGGTTCACTGCAACCCACAACGGGGTTGCGCCAGTGGCGAAGGTACTGTCGATGCCAGCGCCATGTTCGAGTAGGAGCAAGAACAGAGAATCGTTTTCCTCGCGGAACGGAGTGTGCACCCGCAAGATATATTCCCTCCAATACTCATCGGGTTGAAAGAGCGTGGTTGACCGCCTTTTGACCTTATATCGGGAGCACAAAATTTCTTGGAATACATTAAAATGGGCACATCCCCACGCCCTAGAGTTGATTCTGTCTTCAATCTCTAGAATCCGTAACAGAACTTAGTGTGACTTGCTAGCTCGTTGGGATTCCGTCCACTTTCCTCATTTCTATTTTACTCTTAGGTGATGACACTTCTGCATATATGTAAAAATATGCTCGTTTTCATTCATTCTTTCTTTCTTTCTTCTAATCTGAAAACACCAGTGCGGTATCCCGAATACCCCGCGGCTGAACAGCCGAGAGAAATAAGAGGAATCCTGTCTCCTATTACGGTAATCGCATACCTTTCTTGTATACAAAAGTCTTCGGAGATTGTCTGGCAAATTCTCAAATAGCTGCATCTCGTTTCAACGCTCACCATACAAATATGGACAATGCGCTAGCGTTTTAACTTGCAAGGTAGCAGATTCATTGAGAATGGGAATCTGATGAGTACGTGCAATTTCTGCCTCGATTACCAACAGCATTACCGTTGGACGTCTCGTTGCTTGCCCAAACCAGCATTCAGATGCTCTCCGTTCTTTTGGCAACTTTTCGCTTACATTCCTAGAGATACATTACACAGATACCACTCCTCCTTGGACACTTTTATACTCATTCAGCTTCCATCTTCGTGTCATTTTCTATCCTTCATGATATACATGTTTTACTGGTGCCCTGGTCAAGTGAATACTACAGTCATTTTCTGATTAATTTTACCTGACTCTCCGGGACGCTTTACAATGAAAAGACTCAAAACTCGACAAATCATATTATTCGAGCCGCAATAGCAGATACCAACTGTGCCGGTGCATCAGTTTCTGGGTTTTTCAATGAAATCTCTGGTGTTGGATTCGACGTCTTCCAAGGTATATCCCAAAACGCGCCCATAGAAATCAGTTGTCTTACTAAACAGGATATCTCGAATCTGTTGGCAAAACACGAAATTTCCTCACTCGGCTACAGGCCATACATCGCATGGAACGGCTCTTAATCCTGACCCCCCTTCTTCTGGAATCAAGGTGAGTTCGTGGGCACCATAGCGAGTGGAAAATATCGGCATCAGATGCCTTCGTGATAGGTTTCTCCTTTTACAAATTCTGGTGTTTGCTGTGGCAACAGTACAACTATCACGCACCATTATTGGCGTTATTTACTACAAGTTGAAAGGCTCTCCTATTTTTAGAAAGCGTTGGCCTACCTTTCGCGTGTCCCAAAGCCTGTGGACAACTACCTCGGTGCTTTATGGTAATGTCGACTTTCCTTCAGATAGCCGTTGGAATACTCTCCATTTGTATTCTCATATTCTGTACTGGAATGTAGATAATAACGGAATATGCCTTAGTTTACCACACATTAAAAATGCAGACATGCTCGACTCAGACCGGTTACTTGCTGGACGGACTAATAAAGTCTGGTAAATGGCGACAGCTCAAAAATATTAATATCTTTTCCCCGACGAAAGATGTACGAATAATCGAAATCACCATGTTGTACAGTACATATCTCAACATCCCCCAATTCAACATTTCTCGGGGTATTTGGCCGGCTGGCTGCTCTTTTTGCGCATCTCATTTACGGTTTCCCGTCCCATGGATGGGTTACGGATTTATCCGTGCCGTCTTTGTGGGGGCGGGTTCAAACACATCAATTACTCGGCTCAAGTATCAGCCTCACTGCAGTTGTGTATTGCTCTGATCTGTATTATTTCACAAACCATTTGCATCTACCAGAAAGTGCTTTGGTGATCCACCTATGCCGATTTATTAGGGTATCTATAATTGTGTTGTTCCTTTTTTTTTTTTTTTGACACCAATTCAACTTGTCATCATTGTTGGATTTATCTTTATAATATTCCAATGAATTCTAACAATATGTTTGCTCGGCTTCATTGCCTTTTGAGCACTATTAAGCCATTATCCTCCATGATATCACACAATCGAGCAGCGATGTTCCTAATGTTGTCTCATTGTCCAGATACACAAGCTATTCTTTACCTATATTGACAGAGCTTTCAAGGAGAATATCTGAACCATGCATGGCCTCCAAAATCTTTCTGGGCCAACAGAATAAAACCAGCACATTAGAGTTAGAGTTGGAAGTCCTATTCCCAGCCTCCTTAAATGTTTTGTTGCAATATATGTTTATTGAATATATCCCACTCCGAGCTGGGCTATAACAGTCGATTCCAAGTCGAGGATGTGGGAGGCCCTAAGCCAATATATGTATGTAATGGGCTTCTAAAAATGAATATCAGCTGAGGCAAAGGTTGCTCCTTTTACTCTATTCGTTTCCCACCTACGCCGCTCGCCTACTACGTTCACATATTTTTATTGCTTTTTACTTTTGTTCTAAGATGAATTACCTCTTACCCCTAGAACCATTTGGGGAAGCGAAATGGACGGATAATAGTAATGAACGACAAATATATATTGGTATGAGGTGTATGTAGTGCACTGTCCTACTAAACATAATCCTTGATATGCAAATTTTAGTCTATAAAGCTGAGGCAATTTCTTCCTTCCCCAAGTGAAGAGAAAAGCAGAGCGGCAGGCGAAAAATAGAGTAAAATGTATAGAGTGCTATTTATTTTATTGTACGAGGCAAATGAGTGTTGCCAGTTGTGGGATAGTTTTATCCAGAGAATGCATCAATACAGTCAATCGCAGCTGGGACGTAGACTGTCCGTCGCCTCATTAGTGCAAAAAGAAGCAAAAGAGATGTAAAATGAACACTGAGATGAAATAAACTCAGTCAAGGCACCATCCATGGCAATGAGTTATCATTTCGCGTAGGAAGAAGACTGGGATTGGAGTGCCACCTAAAACAAGTTGATAATGGTTGGTATTTAGGGATTTCATGAATAGAAATTGATGGGTTGTTAGCATTCGATATTCCCGTGGAGGGTATTCCAACCAAGGAAGTCGTAGCAATCTAAGCCAGTGGCCGCCAAAACAAGGGCGGAAAGCTAGTATCATTGAGGACGAGAAGAATTTTCTTTTTCTTGCCAGAGCCTTTCAGTAGCATGAGGCAGCGTGTCATCAAATATTCTTCACAGAACATTCGAATCATCGATTGGTTATAGATGCCTACAACTCTACTGACAATATATCCAACACTTGCGGGATCAACTGATCCCCCGGAACACGTCGCACCACTCAATGTGATGATCGACCCGACTTCACAAGCAACATGTCATAGGATCAACTACCAAAACGCCCATATGTACAAAACATGTACGAACCTTGCAAATGGAGTAGGATAATAGTCGCTTTTCGAAGAGCCAATGAAACCGAACTTGCAACTTTTCAACGACATTGCCACCAGGAAGCTGAAACTCCACTTTTGCCCGGTGTAAATCTATCTCGAAGAGCGTATCGACTCACTTGCGCAAGTATAAGCAAGGCCATGCATCGACTTGCCAACCTGGCAATGCCAGTAGTTCTGCTTCGGAAACGGTGACATCAGCAGGGATCATAAGGAAGAAAGTGATCAAAATATATCCTTCCTTGTCGAAGAAGAGAGAAATATAGTAAGATATCATAATTCGAGATAGGGAAAATAGATCTAGACCAAGAGGCTATGTAACGGCATATCCCTTCTGTCTTGAAGGGATAACATGAGCAAGATAAAAGTAAATTAAAAAAAAAATCCATGACGTTACAAAACATATGCATGAAGAGGTGGGAGGTAGCGGCTAAGAAGCCGGTGCCAGACCAGCAAATGTTGATACATGTTCACCGGAGGTACACACGCCATGAGAAGTGACTCGCATCCATGAAGTGAGTCACTTGCGTAAACAGGATCTCTTCGAGAGATAGTTGAGAAGCCACGCTGCTGCTCAATAGGCTGGCCTAAATATCGATCTATTCCTAGATTTGCGTGTGGGAAAAGAGGCGGTGAAATCTTCATTTTGACATGCTTGTGAACATTGGATCCCGGGGAGACGTAAGAATCGCCACCTTAAACGATGTGCGAACCTGATCCAAAGGCTCCATTCGCTCGGCCGAGGATTGAATGCACTTTGGACAAGGGTTGAGATAGTGTCCTTCTGCCTCACCTTGCGCTGCGTATGCAGGAGACCCTAAGGGTTCACCCAGGTTCGTAAAAATGCGGGTGTCCCGCGCACGATTGCCTCCATACATATTGCGTAAATACGAAGAAATCGAAACATCTACCCTCAAAGACAAAGTCTTAAGTTCGAGATCAGAGATGATAGATTTTATAAACAAGAGAAGTAAAGTGACCACTGAAAGTGGGAATGAAAGAGGGCTTGAAAAAGTTCATGGTGAACGACCTATCAACGAATGGCATGCCAGCAATAACCTGATGCTACTGACCAGGGATGATGAAATGGATTATCATCGGAAGAGGTTGAGAAACGACTTCGGTCATAGAACATGTTCTTCCTTCTACCGAGCGAAATAGCCCATCGAAAGTGTCGAAGGCTCGGAGAAAATTCCAATGACGCCAAGCTTTGCTCGACGGCTCGGACGATCAAAGTCAATCATTCCTCATAGCAAGACACTCAAATAAGAAGCCCCATGAATTAGCTGCGAAGATGATTCTGCCCAGGCATCCTAAGTTGGTTCACCCTGATGGCGAAGATCCTGTGTGTGGAATGACAAAAATGGCTGTTCTGATGCCCCAATTCCGTGGACCAAAGGGAGAATGGATGGCCGCAGGCCCAGTCAGCCCTCTTTAGTTGATTCCTTGGCAATGCCTGCCAAGGTGCTTGAGGATGAAGCCATGGCATGGGGCCTCCCCCTTGGTTTGGTTGTTCCTCTCGAAGCTCTCGGGGACTTTTCATTTGTTCTGGGGGCCTAAAGCATCAGCCATAAGACGGGCAGACCAAAAGTCGGATCTGAGACAGGGTCTAATAGCTTGGCGCATCTCGCTTGGAAGTCTGGTCAGGGTGAAAGCTTGCCAGGCATTCGGGACTTTCTTCTCCGACGCGGCTTCATCGAAGTGCGAGGGGAAGAGAGGTCAAAGCGGTGATTGGCATTGATACGCGCACCCGTCATGAAAAGCGCTAGTAGACGGGGCAAGTAGACGGGGCACAAATCCCGATGGATCATGCTTCCTGCTGACGACCTGAACATTTTGAGATAGGCATGATACTGCGTGTGGAGGAAATTCGACGTTCCAAGGTTGTATTCCACAACACGTGATTTCTAGCTTGCTCGAGTGCCAATGCTCCGGCATTTCAAGACCTCAAACTGCGCCACCAGGAAGGTTGCTTGGGGAAGACAGAGCCGAATTCAAAGATATATATATATATATATATTAAATGGGTTTCTGGGTGCCAGAAAATGGAAAACCTTAATCCAGATTCCAAAGGGTTTTTTTTTTTTTTTTTTTT